TACTCAAACATATCAGTAAACACTGACGTTATATGTCCCCAGCTATTTAGACGACAGATTTATAGAAAATAGAAACAATATCATAAATATATATTTGAATATCAACCTGCATGACGTATTGATATCATATTTATTTGATTCTCATGAGATACATTCACAACAATCAAAAGTTAACTGTTCTATGTTATAGACAGTAGTCAGCATTTTTCATAACTACACACTACAACCAAGAGTTACTTCCTACATGTTAATGACAGAAGTCACGTTTTATAGTCCCTTCAACCAATAGTCACTAGTTATACATTGTCGACAACCTGATGTCACACAATAAAACATAGTATAATAACCAATTATTAAATATTAAGATAAAATATCTACCTGAAGCGGGTGCGTTCATGTGCATGTTGTTGTTCCCTTTCAAAATATACACACACGCTTTTAAAAAAATTCCGGATAGGGAAATTCCCTAAGTTTTACACTCATGAGAGACTAAATATGTAGGCTATCTATTTTTTAAAAATCTTCTTTCAAAACCTGTCCGGCAACTTAAATGAAAATTTACACCCAGGCATATAGATATAAATAGCTTGCCAACGTAAACAATGATTTGCAAATCTTCTGTGCATATTCTGTTCGTTTGTGATCAAGAAGGATCGGCTTAAACCACAACTAGGCGATCAAGTACTAATCAATCAATCAAGTACTAATCAATCAATCAATCAATCAATCAATCAATATGTACTTGTTTGACGTTACAGCTGTTTCTTATGTGAAGGGTTAAATTAAAGTCTTTCCTTTATCACGTATACCACCATTCCATAGGTAAGTAGGACTGCCAGGGGAAACCTGGCGTAGAATGGTGGAGAAGCATAAGGTCGGTGTGCCCAGAGCAAGACAAAGGTGTCCCGTTTTTGGGTTACACTGACAGTCAACCATGCCACGCAATGTTGAAGTTATAAGCCACATTTAGTCCCCCGTGAATTCCTACATTTAGAGTAACATTCCTTTTCGCGTAATTTCATTTAAAGCATATATTTTTTATTCCTAAAATATGCTTAAATATATCAATATTTCACCTCTCGGTAATAGTTATCGCTCGATATCAAGTTCATAACTACGTCATTGTAACAATAGGATTACTTGCAAACCAATCAAATGGTGATATTACTTTCTACATGAAAACCTAAAGAAACCCTTTGTTTTCATTTTCAAGTAAACTAATACACTGTCATGTATTCCACGAGTAAAACAACCCATTTGTGATAAAACCCATATTATTATATTTTCAGGAATAAGAATGTCATTACAAATTCTATGTAAATAGTTAGCACACCCAGCAGGTTGTTGATTGAGAAAAGAATGTACCTGCTGTTATCCACTACATATGGGAATTTGCTTTTGTTCCCTCTGCATGGGGACACAGAAGGGACCAAAACGAATCTGCTGCACTCGTTGTAACATTTGAAATATTATATTTTCTCCCTTTTCGTTGAAAGGGTTTAGTTCCTGATCACCGTCTGTCACAACACCTCACATTTGGCTTCAGTTTTAAACGTTCGCCCAAGTGAGAAAGGCAGTGGGCTTTGGCCCTTTGCCGGGACCCTTCAAAGCCCTTAAAAATGGAGTTGTTATTCCCTGCTTAACATTTTCGGTAATCGCTACAACTGGTTAATCCGTTGTCAGTATAATGTTACCAGTTGAAATACTGTTCTGAGTGCCTTTGGCATAGTATTACAGTGAAAAAGCACCATAAAGTCGACATCAGAATTGCACTATTGTAAGGAGGTAATCCACCGTCATATCACCATCAGCATACTTGAATGGATAAATTATTCACATAGATTAACGTCTTTAAATGACATAAGCTGTTGACGTAAAACCAAATCAAACCAAAACAAACCAATCAAAAAGATGCAGAGAGTCAACAATGGAACTTTAAATGAAGAAAATAAAGCAGATTTAAAGTGTTCCGAAACATATGCAAAAAACAGCGTATCGGAAAGGCGCCATTGATATTATCACAAAATAAAAGTTGGCTACAACATTCAATTCTCATTTAAACCGTGCCGGAATAAACTTGGACAACAAGTTAAATTGAACTTGACGTAAAATTGTAACAAAAAGTTGAAAATAAGAAAGTATTTATTCAAATAATAATTTTTTACTAACAACATGGCTATTGTTTTCCATTGGTGACTAATCACTAGTGTCTAGTATTTAAAGTTAAAAAATGTAAATCCGTGAAAAAAGTTTAACGAAACTTATGTATAAATACAACAAATGAAAACATATGCATACACATACTAATTTAAACGTAATACACGACCAAATTATGGCTACAATAGATCATATATTCTTAAATCTAGTATTCGGATACACCATGCTACATATAATATTCGTTCATGGTTGGTAAAGTACCAATTCTAACTATTTGTTAATTTGGAAAGTCCCTCTTTTAATTGATTGTCAGAGCTTTATTAAAATATATAAAAGTTAACATTTGTCAATTAAGTTGGTTATCTATAAATTACACTGAAATAAGTAATGCCTGTCTGCGAGCTTCCTACAGACTTTGCAACAGTTTTTTTATTGTGTCTCGAATAATACAAAATGTTATTTTTGGTTAGGGAAGTATAATACTTTTGTGCCTTCCAAAAGAAAAAAAGAATTTTATCTCGTCGCGATTGATAAAGGTCTTGTGGTGACAGATGTCAAGAATCAAAAAATAATAGGAACAGCAATGATGTAAAGAGAGAACACCCGATAACCGGTAATCAGTGTTGAATATACTAGCGCTTACGGCATCTATCGCTGACTAATCATCACCAGTTCGACCTAATATATACCTGTTTCGTATGCGATACACCTGTTGATACCATTTTGATAACATCCACCAGTGAACGATTTAAATGATTAAAGACGCTGTTTTATTTTTGACACGGGCTTTGCGACTTCAACACTGTGGCCTTCACTAATAATTATCTAAAAATGCATATTTGGATCGTTTAAGTATGTTTGTGATGTAGTACAGTTACTAGCATCCTCATACGCCAGGCGTTACGCCTACCTAAAATCTCCACACCACTATAATAGTTTATGCCAAATTGAAGGTTAGAGGTAATCTATTTGATTGGTCCCAGCTGAAACCTGTTCTTTGAAGCTTACAGATAAGCGACACCCGACTCCGAAGCCAGTCAATTTTACCGTTACGCGACCGAGAGATTCTTTTTTCTTCAATTTTGCCATGACATAATCGAGGACATCCTCGATAATCCTGGGGTTACGCTCACCTCCTCTCTCTATACAACTGGAATATGTCATGACAAAATCGAAGGCTCTGTACGTAAAACCTGATGGATATAGAATTGTTCTCAAATAGAGTATTATTATTTTTATTTATATCTTAGTGAAACATGTTATGACTTGTGATATCTGTCAAATATCAACTAAGGATCCCTGTTCCACTGCACTGTGGGTTGTTTTGCTATACCTATAGCACAGTTGTGCCAGGACAGGTTAGAGCGTCAGAATTACAATCAGAAATCTAGAATTTAAGTCCCGGTCTAGCCCAAATTAATTTTTGTACTTGAAATGTTATTTTTAATTTAATTTTGTTTTTGTTTCAACTTGATGAACTTTCGCAAGTTTCCGCAAGGTACAGTTTTCTCTTTGGAAATAATTTATCAAAGCTATAGTTATGCCAGTTTCCACTGCTTAGCTACAGTCTATGCAGTGGTATAAGGTCTGTATTGAGTGATTAATAAAAAAAAAAGGTTAAGAGAGATACGTGTACCTTACTGATAGCTAACAACAGCACACAGATTCGGTGATAAGAATTATTGATATAATTTATATACAGAGTGTAGACTGATCGGCCTAAATCTTCACCAGGAAGTGTATCAGCTAAGGATAAGGCTATTTACAAATATCATTGACTTGAACTTGAATGCGGGAATTGCAATATTATGACGTCATAATCGAAGATGATCGGGGATGATGTGAAAAACAGAGAAGATACAGGGGCGGACGATGTGAAAGACAGAGAGGATATGGATATGAATAGACAATGATGCAGATAATGTGACAGACAGAGANGGGGGGGGGGGGGGGGGGGGCAGGTAATGTGTCAGACAGAGAAGATACGGAGATAAATAAACAGTGATGGGGGGGGGCAGATGATGTGAAAGACAGAGAAGTTAAAAAGATGAATAGACAGTGATGGAGGGAGGGGGGAACTAATGTTACAGACAGATAAGATACAGAGATAAATAGACAGTGATGAAAGGGGGGGGGGGCAAATGCTGTAACAGATAGAGAAGATACTATATGAATAGACAGTGAGGGGGGAGAGATAATGTGACTGACATAGAAGATACAGAGATATATAGACAGTGATGGGGGGCACATGATGTGAAAGACAGAGAAGATACAGAGATGAATAGACAGTGATGGGGACGGGGGCACATGATGTGAAAGACAGAGAAGATACAGAGATAAATAGACAGTGATGGGGGGGGGACATGATGTGAAAGACAGAGAAGATACAGAGATGAAAAGACAGTGATTGGGAGGGGGGGCACATGATGTGACTGACATAGAAGATACAGAGATAAATAGACAGTGACGGGGGGGCAGATAATGTGACTTAGAAACAGACAGAAAAAGAGAATAGTGATTCGGATATTCACTTGAGAAAGAGATTTAGACAGACACATAGATAGAAAGATTGAGGAAGAAAGTTATAGAGAGTTGTGAGACAATGGAGCTACATATCACAGACAGAAATTTCCTGGCGGACAAACATATATACACCTACTGACAGGGAAAGAAAAAGAGAGAGAAAATATGTAAGGGAGAAAAGAACAACAATTACACAAAACGATAAAGACACAAAATAAAAGGAACAGATCAAAAAGTAATTTAGGTTGAAAGTAATTTTTGATAAATATGTTAGGTCTTTTTAACACAGTGGAGACATATCACAATATGTATTTTCTCACCTTTGATCCAAACTCATATCCCTGGTTAGTAGTGATCAAGGATGTGACGGGTTAACTGTTAGTACACACAAACCTTTATACAAAATTCACACTTACACCGTGTTTAAATAGCCATGAATAACAATGTTATAAGGCCTAATAAAGCCGGGAAAACCCGGTTACAATGTCGTTGATGTTTACTCACATTATCTCAACATGACGTGTTACATCTATATATAAAGCACTATATTGATGGCAGTAAGTAGAAATACGATTTTAAAGATTCGTTGAAATAAAAATTAGTTTGACATTGCAGAAAACCAAAGTAAACAATGTATCTCAATATATGGTGTTTTAGTTTAGCCATTTAGCTTTTATCAGTGGTAAAAAAAGGTAATAGAAAATGTCTAGCGTGTTCTGAAGTATATGTAGAATACCGTGAAGGAAACGATTAAGTGTAGAACCCTTTATTTGAGGCTTATGTACATAAGCAAGGTTTAAATGGACAAATATTGTTTCTATTAATACTAGTCAAGCCTCGATGGACTAGTGTGCAACATTAACCTAAACATTGTGTATATATATGTATGTCAGTGACAATCATGATAAGTAGGTTTTTCATATAGGAACATCGACCGTATATATAACCAGGGCCGGAGCGGTCAATGACGAGAGTGACATAATATTGGGATACAACAACGCAGGCGGGAGTAATGTATCCAAAAAGTTACATCCAGTCTAAGTTGTCCCATTTAATGCTATAACTTTTATATAAGTTACCCCAACATCAGACTGGAGCAATGTAACCAAATAGTTACAGCCAGTCAGACTGGAGCAATGACTCGAGGAATGTAACCAAAGAGTTACAGTCAGTCTAAGTTGTCCCATTTAATGCTATAACGTTTATATAAGTTACCCCAACATCAGACTGTAGCAATGTAACCAAAGAGTTACAGCCAGTCTGGGTAAAACATCAGATTACATAAGTTAAAACATATAAGACGCTATTCCTCTTCGGGTCTGGCCTGCAATGCACCCAAAGAAGTAGATAAGGCGGAAACGGCTCCACCACTACTTATTACATCCCCGCACTCTATTTAGTGTAACAGCAAAGCCTGCACACATATAGAGAACCGTGTAATTGCCAGCTTAGTCGAGGAATAGCGTCGACACTCTATACCGTCACTGAGTTTGCCCCAGAAATGCCATTTTTTATGTTTTCAAATTGTATGTCAATGTATTCTTTTGTATGATGGATATATCAATTATGTATGATGTTGTTTGACTTTTAATCTATATATGTTATATATACAACAGTAATTAAATGTTGTACATTTACTATATATACATATTTAGTTGTTATTTGTTCTATTTAAAAACGTTACAAATTTATAAAGATTGGCTGAAACAGATAATTTGTTCTCAAAATAGTGTTTCATATGGTGGCCGATAGCAGCCGACACAAAACAACTATCGGCCATCGTAGTTTCATATAAGCATTTAAGAATAAATTCCAGCCACAAGGTTATGGCCGACGTTGGTGACAGATCGTCCAAATGCAGAGTCAACCAAATTGTTACGTAGAAAAATGATTAGAAATACGATTTACTGAGATGAAATATTGATTTAATGTTTATATCAAATAACGGGATGTTTTTTCATAGCCATGCATGCTGCATGCATGATTATTTCTCACAGCAAGCGTTTCAGAAAAATACGTTTCACTACTTTTAACAGTGTCAATGCACTTGATATTATTTTATTGTTAATTGATAGTAAAACCGTACTGTTGAGTTCTAACAGATGAATGTTAATAAAAAATAATGGAAAGTATCAGCAGATGTTTATATCAAAATTCTGCATTGGTATAAGAGATATTAGCAAAATCATGGAAAATATTTGGGTTACTTTACATACTTGATGGCCACAGTTATCTCTTTACGGTAGTGTTTGGAGATGGCATGGTTCACAATATACACAATTTACATATAATTTAATTTTAAGTCAACCAGTACTCCACTAAATGTTTAAATTAATGTTTTTTACGCACCTGCCTCTCTGTTTCAACAGTAGTTTAGACTTTTTTTTTTATTTTCAACTTTTTGACCCCTAACATCATCTATGATCGTCCAAGAAATGAAAAAAAACAGCTACAGTGCATTGTAGTTAATTTTTGGCATACTGTTATCTACAACCAGATTTGAACTCATTAAATCACTGTTGTGCTACGTTCATCTTTCATGTTATGTCTCTTGCTGTATAAAATATGATAATACATTACACTTCATAAGTTTTCATGACATGAATCACTCTTGTTTTGGTTGGTCGCATATGTAATATCAAAAGAGCATTACAGCTCAAAATAGCAGATATAAATATATGTAACCTTTTCTTTGGTTTATTGGATTTTTTAACGTGATTGAAGGAATAATATGGAATCATTTTCCTTTACTGACAAACATGCTTATCAAATTTCAAGTACCATCAGACATCGTTCCAATTGGATATCATCTAAAGGACTAAAAAGGAAAGTGTTCCATCTTTTTAAGGCATGTCTGGCTTCAGTACATTCATGTGACGTTTTTATTTCAAAAGAATCATCAGTCTTAAGTGAAACACAAGCTCTCAGCTGGAAGATGTAAAAATCAGAGCTTCTATCTTCTCTTACAGCAAATCACTCTAATTTTGCGAGATCTTCATTTTCATGCAAAGTGTTGTTGGAAAAAAGGCCCGTATTTGTGAAACCGCTGCAATTATTAATCTCATTCATTTGCCGTAAATTTCAATATATGCCGAAGAAATTTAATTTATCATACCTCGCATGCTTTTTTTTTGTTGCAATAACTGAAGATATATTTATAGCCTCTCAGAACGTTGAAGAAATCAAGGCATGTGCCACATTTGGTTAAGGAACCAATGAAGTAACTTGTTATGTTTCCGGTTAAGTTTTAGCATCTTTTCGGTTCCAGTTGTTACTCTGTATTAAGCTTGAGTTTGTCTTTATGCATTTTTGAGATATGATTTGTTCGGTGTGTAATGAAGATCTGGTACATCTTATGGGCGGATTGGTCGAGAGGTTAACACTCCGGCCTTCCCAGCAGGCGGCCGGGGTTCGATCCCCGAAGTCATCGTACGCATGGAATACTCAGAGAAAGTGGATGTTGCGGTATCTCTGCTGTGATATTCCAGTGAGGTGGCACTATAAATGAGACCGTTGGAAGTCCGGCCCACTACAAACAGAACACAATACACCTCAAGCACACACGCAGGCATACACACATAGGGAGATATTAACCAGCTGGTATAGGACTAGTAGTTAGCGTCTGATAAGGCAGCTCCTGCGAATTCCTCAAAATTGTATTGATTAATGTATATGCCAATTGTATTCATTGTATTAAATTGTATATCTATGTACTGTAAATGTTGTATATTTATTTATGTATTTATTTTATTTATATTTGTACCATTATTGAATAAGGTTTTGTATCAACCAAGGCATATTAGGGAAAATTACTCCCTTACCTAAAAGCTAAATTGTCGAGCGATACGGTATACCGTGAGACCCTTTTACTACTTCAGCAACGTCAGCGGTCAGTGCTTTGAAATCGTGTTTTGACGATGTGGTACATATCGACTTTCAAACCGGAGTCGGTCCCCTTGTTTTGGCGATTAACCATTTTTTTTCTTCTAATTTACTTTAAACGTCTTCTATCTTATAAAAATCTGTATGTTTATGAAAATTTATATTTTATTTATTTTAGAGCTTTCAAACAAATGATCGAAATGTGCATTACAAAAGTTACAATATGTATTCATGATAGAAAAAAAATAAGGTTTATTAATGTTTTGTGAACATAGTGGTTTGATAAAAATAATCAAAATATCTCTTTAAATATTGCCAGTATTGTACAAGGTTTCAGTTAATTAGATTTTTTAAACGAAATTTAAATTCAAAATATTTATACAAAAAAAAAAAGATAGGTCATGACATTTTCTTCATATAAGTTAAGAAGCAATAGTCTACTCGTTATCATACCCCCTTCCATTTCGTAGAAATATCGGTCCTCACGTTGCTCAGACAGACGGACGGACGAACAGCAGTCATAATCCTATAGTCAACCCGAGGTAAGTTGAATAGGCACTTTCATTTAATAGAGGTATTCCCAGCTGTATATTTAAAGCACAGGGGTATATTCGGTTACATGAGACCAAGTGATATTGTGCGCCGTAGTTGGGAAGCATAACAACGTATCATTTCTGACAAGACGTTATATTTCCCTGACCACAGGTAAGTCGTGTATATAGTATCATTGCGTTATCATATATTTCATTATCTTTTTTAGTTTTGAGGTATTATTTCTTGGGTAAAATATAGATTTTAAAGAACCCGGAAGTGAAAAATAATGGCATACAGGTGAATACATGTTTATCAGGACTGGGTGGAGATGTAGTGTGTGCACACACTGTCATTAATGTTAATTAATGATGTGATATTAACACAAAAAGTTCACACCTAAATAGAAGAATTCTCAATATTCTAAAAATTGAAAACAGCATGTACGTGTATTTTAATCTAAAAGCATCGTTCAAATGATATTTAAACCACACTATTCTAATTTAACATTTCTTCAACATAGAGAAATATATAATTATAAGATAAGGTTCAAATGTTTGTGAATGTGAGGAAAATGTTTTGGAACTGTTAAGGTTTTAAACGCCTGCCCACATTTATTACAAGCCCCAATGTGTGTACTACTTGCCTACATTGAAACCTGGCTACACACGTTTTTTGTCACCTATGTAGGGCACGTCTACCCAATGTTACACTGAGTGGCTATGTGCGTGTGTAGTCTGTTGATAGGGCCGTTGAGATTATAATACCTCATATTGTTTTATGGCGATAAAGAAATGACACCCTTAGCTGGGGTACCGTGTAATGCATACTAAACTACACCCACACATCGTCTGCACCTCTCTCACGAAGCTTCTACAATAAGTGACGGTAGATATATCTACTAAGTATCCTGGTTGATATGCGAAGTCGAACAAATAGAAAGGAATATCACACTCTAACAGTATTTGTTTTGCTTTTTTTTCAAACAATTTCTGAAATGTAACTTGTGTTTTTTGAAACGATTGATTAAATATATTTAACACGAAATCCTTTAAAATTATGTTAATTGTCATTGTTTTGAAATACCTCCTAAGGTTTTCATGTTCTATGAAATGTAATGTAAATATTTGCTATTCTCAGCTGATTGATACATATGCATAATTTATAATGTAATTTGGAAAAAAGTCACCCTAAATAATTCATTAATTATTGTGTTTTTTTAATAATCAAAACAAAAGTTTTTACAAGTTAGGCCGTTATCATATATTATTTTTTACTATATTTCTCCGGTATTATACAAAAAAGTACCCATTTACTTAATTATTAAGCTATATTAATTCTATAAGAAAAAATCTCATACACTAAGTACCTCGATATAATGCCTTTCCTTCAGTGGTTCCAAGTTTATATATATATTTAATATTCCCTTATTTTGATGTATATTTCCCTCCATACATAATCAGCAGTTGAATTTTGTTTTCTGAACAATGATTCAATGTCTTTCTTTACATATAACGAACAAGCTTTTTGTATAGCCATGCTCATATGTTTCCTTCCATAAATCACAACAATTGTCCTTTTCTGTCTTTTTGTCTTTTTATGTTTATGTTGCATATTTGCCTCCATTTATCATCGGAACTTTTTTTCTGAACTATGCTTATGTGTCTTCAGCAGCAGCAGATTTTTATTCTGAACCATTTATTTTCAGTTCGTACATCAAGAACAATTGTGTTGGGTTTTTTTGGTTGTTTTTCTTTCTGAACCATATATTTCCCTAGATACATAATCAATAATTTGTTGGGTTTTTTTTCTCTCCAAAATAAGCTTATACAATATATATTTCCCTTCATTCATTACCAGCACGGTTTTTGTCTGAACACCATGCTTATATATCTTCCTCCATATATCATCAACGAACTTTATTTCTAAACCATATACTTTGCGGAGATTTTATGAAAAATAATAAAGAAGAAATAAACAATATATGTTCAAAAAGAGTGCTCTTAATGTATTTTTTTAGAGGGGCTAGATCGGCATTCGAAACCTGACTTGTTTATTGTTGTAACCCGTTGAGCTACCTGGTCAATGGAAGTGTACTAGCCACACTGTGCTACATTTATATCGAAGCGGAAGATAATGGGGTTTACTGCATATAGAAAATACCACAGTGCAGTGGGACAGGGATCCTTAATATACTGCAGATTGTCGGTGGCATTGGTATTATGAAGAAACATAATGAAAACAAAAAAATGTAAAAAGTACATACATACAACATTGATTGAATTGTGAACGCATTTACAAGTTTCTTCATAAAATTAGCGGGTTATGTCCCTTTAGTTGTATATTACATAACACATATCAAAATTTTTCAGCTAGACCTTCATTTATTTTAAAGAATCTGCTACGCAAATAAATACTTGTGTTTCAGTATTCCACTTTATTACAAGTATTTTTTTCATTTTTTATAATGGCTTGATAATGTTTCATTTTTGATTGATAGTAAAACCGTACTGTTGAGTTCTTAGAGATGAAAGTTAATAAAAACTAACGGAAAGTATCAGCAGATGTTTATTACAAAATTCTGTATTGGTATCAGAGATATTAGCAAAAACATGTAAAATATTTGGGTTACTTAACATACTTGATGGCCACAGTTATCTCTTTTGGGTAGTGTTTGGAAATGGCATGGTTCACAATATACACAATTTACATATTATTTAATTTTAAGTCAACCAGTACTCCACCAAATGTTTAAATTAATGTTCTTTTTACGCACCTGCCTCTCTGTTTCAACAGTAGTTTAGACAATTTTATTATCAACTTTTTGGCCCCTAACATCACCTATGAGTCCAAGAAATGACAAAACAGCTGCAGTGCATTGTTGTTATTTTTTTGCATTCTGTTAACTATAACCAAATTTTGAATGATTAAATCACTGTGTGTGTTACGTTCATCTTTCATGTTATGTCTCCTGCTGTATAAAATATGATAATACATTACACTTCATAAGTGTTCATGACATGAATCACTCTTGTTTTGGTTGGTCGCATACGTAAAACCAAAAGAGCATTACAGCTCAAAATAGCAGACAAAAATATATGAAACCTTTCCTTTTGAATTATTGGATTTGTTAACGTGATTGAAGGAATAATTGGGAAACATTTTCCTTTACTGACAAACATGCTTAGTAAATTTAAATTCCCATCAGACATCGTTCCAATTTGATATCATTTAAAGGACTAAAAAGGAAAGTGTTCCATCTTTTTAATGCATGTCAGGCTTCAGTACACTCATGTGACGTTATTATTTAAAAAGAAGCATCAGTCTTAAGTGAAACACAAGCTCTCGAGAAGCTGGAAGATGCAAAAATCAGAGCTTCTGTCTTCTCTTTCAGCAAATCACTTTCCTTTTTGCGAGATCTTCATTTTCATGCATAGTGTTGTTGGAAAAAACGAGGCCCGTATTTATGAAACCTCTGCAATTATTAATCTCATTTATTTGCCGTAGGTTTCAAAATATACTGAAGAAATCTAATTTATCATTCCTCGCATGATTTTATTGTAATAACTGAAGACAGATTTATAGCCTCTCAGAACGTAGAAGAAATCAAGACAAGTGCCACGTTTCCGGTTTAGTTTTAGCATCTTCTCGGTTCCTGTTGTTGCTCTGTATTAAGCTTAAGTTTATCTTTGTGTAAATTTTAAGATAGGATTTTGTCTGTGTGTATTGAAGGTCCGGTACATCTTGTTGGCGGATTGATCGAGTTGTTAACACTCCGGCCTTCCCAGAAGGCGGCCGGGGTTCAATCCCCGAAGTCGTCGTACGCATGGATTATTCAGAGAAAGTGTTTTTCTCCTGCCTAGAGGTGGCACTATAAATGATAACGTTGGAAGTACGGTCCCACTACAAATAGAACCCAATTTATCTCCAGCACACACGCAGGCATACATACATAGGGAGATATTAGCCAGGTGGTATAGGACTAGTAGTTAGCGTCTGATAAGGCAGGTCCTGCGAATTCCTCAAAATTGTATTGATTAATGTATATGCCAATTGTATTCATTGTATTAAATTGTATATCTATGTACTGTAAATGTTGTATATTTATTTATGTATTTATTTTATTTATATTTGTACCATTATTGAATAAGGTTTTGTATCAACCAAGGCATATTAGGGAAAATTACTCCCTTACCTAAAAGCTAAATTGTCGAGCGATACGGTATACCGTGAGACCCTTTTACTACTTCAGCAACGTCAGCGGTCAGTGCTTTGAAATCGTGTTTTGACGATGTGGTACATATCGACTTTCAAACCGGAGTCGGTCCCCTTGTGTTGGCGATTAACCATTTTTTTTTTCTAATTTACTTTAAACGTCTTCTATCTTATAAAAATCTGTATGTTTATGAAAATTTATATTTTATTTATTTTAGAGCTTTCAAACAAATGATCGAAATGTGCATTACAAAAGTTACAATATATATTCATGATAGAAAAAAAGTAAGGTTTATTAATGTTTTGTGAAAATAGTGGTTTGATAAAAATAATCAAAATATCTCTTTAAATATTGCCAGTATTGTACAAGGTTTCAGTTAATTAGATTTTTTAAACGAAATTTAAATTCAAAATATTTATACAAAAAAAAAAAAGATAGGTCATGACATTTTCTTCATATAAGTTAAGAAGCAATAGTCTACTCGTTATCATACCCCCTTCCATTTCGTAGAAATATCGGTCCTCACATTGCTCAGACAGACGGACGGACGAGCAGCAGTCATACTCCTATAGCCAACCCGAGGTAAGATGATTAGGCACTTTCATTTAATAGAGGTATTCCCCAGCTGTATATTTAAAGCACAGGGGTATATTCGGTTATATAAGACCAAGTGATATTGTGCGCCGTAGTTGGGACGCAGAACAACGTATCATTTCTGACAAGACGTCTTATTTCCCTGACCACAGGTAAGTCGTGTATATAGTATGATTGCGTTATCATACATTTCATTATCTTTTTTAGTTTTGAGGCTTCTTTTCTTCGGTAAAATGTAGACTTTAAAGAACCCGGAAGTGAAAAATATTGACATACAGGTGTAAACATGTTTATCAGGACTGGGTGGAGACGTAGTGTGTGCACACACTGTCATTAATGTTAATTAATGATGTGATATTAACACAAAAAGTTCACACCTAAATAGATGAATTTTCAATATTCTAAAAATTGAAAACAACATGTACGTGTATTTTGATCTAAAAGCATCGTTCAAATGATATGTAAACCACATTATTCTAGTTTCACATTTCTTCAACATAAAAAATATTTTATAATAAGATAAGTTTTAAATGTTTGTGAATGTGAAGCAAACCTTTTTGTAACTGTTAAGATTTTAAACGCCTGCCGCCATTTATTAAAGCCACCATGTGTGTACTACTTGCCAACATTGTCACCTGTCTGCATAAGTTTTGTTGTTACCTATGTAGGGCACGTCTACACAATGTTACACCGAGTGACTATGTGTGTGTGTATTCTGTTGATAGTGCCGTTGAGATTATAATATATGTTATGACACACATACAGTGCAAAGCATTCGACCAAGATATATTTCTCTAGCGATTTTACAAAATGATTACAAGCGGATCTCCTGAATGATTGCACATGAATTGATGACAAGGACGGACTAATTTCAATTGTATGAATAGGGTTGAGATTCCAATATAGACACATTAGTTCGAGTTCGCTAACCTCATATAGTATATGGCGATAAAGAAATGACACCCTTAGCTGGGGTACCTTGTTATGCATACTAAATTACACCCACATATCGTCTGCACCTCTCTCATGGAGCCTCTACAATAAGTGACGGTAGATATGTCTACTAAGTATCCTGGTTGATATGCTAAGTCGAACAAACAGAAAGGAATATCACACTCTAACAGTATTTGTTTTGCTTTTTTTTCAAACAATTTCTGAAATGTAACTTGTGTTTTTTGAAACTATTGATACTTTACACGAAATCCTTTAAAATTATGTTAATTGTCAATGTTTTGAAATACCTCCCAAAGTTTTCAAGTTCTACGAAATATAATGGAAATATTTGCTATTCTCAGCTAATTGATACTTAGCGCGCATTATGATTTGTTTGCTTTTGCAAAGCTGTGTCATTCAAATAGATCATAAATACCATACAAAAACAGTTCAATACTTATATTTACGTTTTCTGCCTCTCATGTTCTTTTTTAACTTACAATATATATTTAAAATTTAAAATTCCCGCCTTATCGACAGTCCACACAAATTCGTTCAATAGTTGTAACAGCGTGTTGTCGCGTGCTGATTGGCAAACAAAGTAGTACTTTGAAATTTGAAGAAACACTTCAATTTTATTCCACAATTCAGTATCAATACAATTGCGTACGATATGTCTATAGGGTGATTTAATTTTATCAATAGAACTCTGAGCTGAAAGTTAGATTTGAAATTGTTTCGACTTTTCCCCGGAGCAAATTTCGCGCATGCATAAATACAGTGAAAATCGTAAATCCGACCTTGCCCTCCACCAGGGAGTTTTTTTTGGAAGTTTATTCCAACTTTTCTCTTTGCTCATTTTGTGAAGAATCCAGACGTGAATTTATTTGTTCATTGTATGGGAATCTAACAACAGTCGGTAGATTTTATAGCAGCCTAGTTATTTGACATGTCGTGGCTGCGAGACGCGTGAAACTGATAGCGTTTGAAGAGAGCGATCATGCGACGGAGCACAGGGGTTCGTTACAAATGTCTGAAATGTGTATGTGCTGTGACTGATATCAGTAGGTCTGTAACATATGTGTCGGTAGATCTATAGAATATGTGTATTTCCGACATTTGTAACGAACCCCTGTTGATCAGTGCAGTGTAACAGACGATATTTCTGATAAATTGCATGAGCGTTAAAATTGTTTCCATTGCCGGCATTGGTGATATCAACCGCTGTGCATTTTGTACGATATTGCAGACCTTGGTCTTGTTTTGTTGTAATATAAGTATTTTTTCTTTTCTTTTTTCTTTGCACATAAATTTGCAATTAAATTGTCAAGTCTCACAATGCCCAGCGATATTTCAGCAGCAATAATGTTTATTTACATTGGATATTGTAGTTCCGGAATTGTGTCTCGTGCTAGATGGTAATTAAAGTCCCATCAACGACACAGCTTTCAAAGAGGCTATATAGTGACAATGCCATGCAAATGTAAATATATATTCATAATTCATAATGTAATTTGGAAAAAGTCACTTCAACTAATTGATTCATTATTATTTGTGTTTTTTTTTTTAATAATTAAAGCAAAATTTTGTACAAGTTATCCGTTATCACATAATATTTTAACTATATTTCTCCGGTAATATACAAAAACAATACCCGTTAATTTAATTATTAAGCTATATTGATTCTATAAGAAAAAATCTCATACACTAAGACCTCGATATAATGCCTTTCCTTCAGTGGTTCCAAGCTTATATATATATTTAATATTCCCTTATTTTGCTGACACAATGTTAATATCCCTCCATACATAATCAACAGTTGAATTTTGTTTTCTGAACCATGCTTGAATGTCTTTCTTTACATATAACGAACAACCTTTTTTTATAGCCATGCTATATTTTCTCCATACTTCATCAGCAGGAGTTTATTTTTCTGAACCATAATTTTATTTTCAGTTCATACATCAAGAACAATTGTTTTGTTTTTTTGGTTGTTTTTCTTTCTGAACCATATATTTCCCTAGATACATCATCAATATTGTTTTCTTTTTTCTTTCTAAACTATGCTAATACAATATCTATTTCCCTTCATTCATCACCAACACTGTTTTTTTCCGAACACCATGCTTATATATCTTCCTCCATATATCATCAACGAAATTATTTCTTAACCATTATACTTTGCAGAGATTTTATGAAAAATAATAAAGATGAAATAAACAATATATGTTTAAAAAGAGAGTTCTTAATGTAAAAGAAATTCAGAGGGGCTAGACAGGGATTCGAAACCTGACTTGTTTAATGTTGTTACCCATTGAGCTACCTGGTCAATGGAAAGGTACTAGCCAAAATATAGGAAATACCACAGTGCAGTGGGACAGGGATCCTAAACACACTGCAGCTTGACGGTGGCATTGGTATTATGAAGAAACAATTACATACATACAACACTGATTGAATTGTGAACGCATTTACAAGTTTCTTCATAAAATTAGCGGGTTATGTCCCTTTAGTCGTATATTACATAACACATGTCGAATCGTTTCAGCTGGACCTTCATTTATGTTAAAGTATCTGCTATGCAAATAAATACTTTTGTTTCATGACATAACAAGTATTCCACTTTATTAAAGGTTTTTTTTCTTCATTGTTTTAGTTACAATGGCTACAAATTACCCAGAGCATTCATCTCCTGAAGATACTCACAAACAGGAAGAAGTTGGCATCATCGGTTGTTCATGCCAGGCAAATAATATAGAAATTATTCAAGTAGTTTGTAATGAAAATAAAATTAACACCAAAATTACACAACTGAGTTCAGAAAAACCTTATATTTTGGACAAACTATCTGGCTGCGTTTGCAGTATCATTTTACTCTGTTCCCACTACCTTGAACTCTTATCGACATCAATAACAGGATCTAAACAACAAACAAGCCTTATCTTGGTCGGAGATGGGATGGATCTCCCCCGACTATCTTCACATGGAATAGTATCAGTACGTTGTGACGAACCTGATTTTAAACAGATATTGTTTGAAATGATTTATACTAAAATCAATTATGACGACTGTTTTGGAACGACAAATGCAACGGGATGTCAGAGCAGGGATGAGACGGATCAAAAAGAAAGTCCTGATGCTGAATATGAAGTGAGTGACTTGCAAATTAGTCGAAAGAGTAAACAAGTATATCAAGAGGCGACTGTTAACGGAGACGAAAACACCAACTATACAAAGTCTGATGATAGCGAAGACGAGAACCCGTACCAAACACTGTCATTGGAACCTCGTGCGAATTTGATCAACCTCAGAACAGGGGAGAGTGGGAAGGATGCGTTGTCAGGAGCAAATGTGGTTGAAGAATATTTCCATCCGTCACGTAAGTTTAAATCATTAAATATGTTTTTTGCAGAATACATTTTTTTATCATATACAAATCTATGAAACTTATCCCAAGTGACATTGGTCTACTTTTGAGGTTAAACATAATAATAACTTTATCTTTGATATATCAGTTCCTTAATTTAAGCTAATTATTCTTCTTCGAAAGAGATTGGGACATTTTTATTGTTGAACTCCTCAACCCTGACAATCCCTTAAAATTTATGTATGTTTACATGAATATATTTGACACATGTTCGTGTATGAGGGGTGCTGAGAGAGATGGGTTGACAAAACTCAGGCTGCAAATCGTCCCTGAAATAGGTTTTAGACAGTGAATAATTTAAAAACATGTCAGCATTTGCTAATAAACGCTAGTATTCGGCATAACCCGATGTTATTAAATGAACAGGTTTTAGCTTCGTTGCATATCCAACAGCCTATACTTTAGTGCTAGGAGGAAGGGTTCGAGAAAAAACCCACCAAATTCACACTTGCCAAAAGGTTCAAATTGCATTGAAAATATAATAGCTGCCGTAACATTGAATTGAATTGATTGAAGTATATTTATATTTCGAAAAATATGAAGGACATGTTAAGTTTATAAAGACCATAGCCCTCACTCTCCCGAATATATGACTTTATCAGGTGTGCAACTTAACTGATATATATGTATATATTTGAAACCTTTCGCTTTTAAATCCAATCACATTTACAGAGGATCTGCTTGGTCATTGAACCAGTTTGGAACAAACAAAAATGTCTGCATACCGACTATAGCCCAGTCGCATCGTCGAGATGCAATGTATTGCTTTATCTCTTTTAAATCTGATGCAAGTTGACAGTGGTACTCTGGCTACACATGATGTGGCCATTGGGCTCTTGTTTTGTAATGTGTTCTACATGTCTATTTTGTAGGATCGTATTGGAAGGAACTATCAGAAATAATTTCCGATATAAATAAAGGAAACAAGGCAACTGTATCTGAGCTTACCAAATACGTCTACACGCATGTCATCCCTTCAGCCAAAGAACATAAGGATCTATCAACACTTTCAAAACTATCCGAATGTGAGGGTCATGGTATTGAAGACAAAATAGCGAAAGAAATACAAGATCTACTTTTCACGTCTGAGGTCACCCGTCATCAAATGGACGTCTTAATCCAAAGTTTGGAGGTTCATTTGACTGTAGTTAAGAGGAAAGCAATTTCATGTAAAACTACCAGAACCATTCTACCAAATGTTATTCTGATGCTGGCCTTTGTCTATCACATTGTGTTAGACCAAGAAAACAAGGATGAAAAGATGGATGGAAGAATTTCTATACTGGATGCAATACTTGACAGAACCGTATATGCACCAAACCAGGACATTGAACGCCATCTACAGAACGCAACGAGAATGATGCTTAAGGGCCTCAAAAAGACCACGAGCAGTAAGAGGACTTCTTGCCCTCAGCTGTTAGGACCCTGGCGAGAGGAACTGATGAGTGACAACACGATATTTAATATGACCTGCGCCATAGCTAAAATGACCCTACCAGAACTATACTCTCTAATAGCCATACTTTTTGTTCAGGTAAGTTTACATGTAGCTTTCCAATGTCTCAGGATAGTTTCCAAGCCTTCCATATATAATTCGCTTGTGATAACTTTTGGTTAATAATCGTCACATTCTATAAGCTGTATATTGTATGTATGGAATCGAAACATCTCTGTCGTCTTAAAACGATATAAATTGTATACTTATAAGTAATCAATGTTAAATATTCCATTTTCCATTGTTTTAGTTGTTCACTGCATTGCATTTTTGTCATCCTGGTAAAACACTAGCCGCTTTTTACTGACTCGGCTAGGGAGAATTTCTCTTTAGCTCATTATGTAGAACGTAAAACTAGTAAACCAGAGATCCCGGGTTCGACATTGAAAAATATAAATACCTCTGCATCACTCTTTTTTATCAAGATGCATTTGGGAATGGAACTTTGTAAGCGATTGATAGACTTCTTCCACACTGTGGTGAAACAATCTGCAAAGAAATCAGCCAACAACTCGCAACTTTATCCCTTGTTGGTCATAGTATGTCGGGGGATTGCAAGTTTACTGAATCGACACGTTCACCAAGGTATATTACTATTACCTTTTCTTTAATATATATATATATATTGTTTGTTGTTGTGATGTCTGTGGTAGATCGTTTTTGACTTGTATAAATTTACAAAATAATCTTCAAAGTAAGCACGAATTCCGTCTTCAGTAAATAAATAAATAAGGAAAAGTAAATCCTGTGAATTTGAGTATTTATCCATATTTACGTAAATAAGCCCCCCCCCCCCCCCCCCCCCATAAAAAAAATGCATTATAACATTGTCATATTATACTTATGTAAGCTTTCGTTTTTGCTTTTGATAATTGCAATTTTTCATTTATATATTGTGATATTTATCATATATAAACGAACGGGTATGAAACTAATATTACTTTGATGGAATCAGATCAAACTCATTTGCTGTGTTACATTTGATTATAAAATCTATTTCTTCTTTTTTTACAGATCAACAAACAGCGGCTATGCAGAACCAAACAAACAACAGTCTGTGTGAGATATTGAAAACCTGTGTTGAGAAAATCAAAAACAAAACCAATCGTGACTGTAGCAAGGCTCTGCAAGAAGAGCTGGCGATCCTCTTATTTCATAGGAGTAGTAACGTCGCGAGGAACGTCGATAGGTTAATGTCTGTATTGGGTGGTGTTTGCATAGCCGACAAAATTCCGGCCTATCTGCAAACGATTTTAGGGCCCCTAGGTCTCACATTAAGCTCGGAAACAAACGAAAGCTGTCCAAAAACTCTCCCACGATGGCAAGAACTTAAGGGTTATATTGCTGGACATAGAGAGGCAAGCGTCAATGTTCTACTTCCTGACAACAACACATTTGACCTGCAAACGTATGTAAAAAGTGCCAAGTTAGATCCCACTAATGGACGACATTACAATACAATGGATATGTTAAAATGTTTGCTTGGAAATGATCAGCATCCGCACATTCGACGACTCATGGCGTTCCAGGTTCAGCCGATGCCTGTCTTTTATATCACAGAACTACTTCCAGACGCCACTCTCAGCACATTCTTACTCGCAACACGCAAAGAGTTCGACTGGCAACCGCTGAAAATGCTTGGCTCCATAGCATTAACATGCGTTGATGTTGTGCGTTTTCTGCACGAAAGGAGTATCGTTCACAGGAATCTGATCGCAGACAGTTTCAAACGCAGAGACAAAGATACGTTTGTTCTTACCGATTTAAGCATTGCTAGTTATGTGGATGATGATTCGGTCGGTTCGGGAACGTTTGTGCAAGGTATACAACTTAGCATTGGATTATGGTCAATTTATTTCTTATTAGATTTATTGAAAACAAATAATATACATCAAAGTGTTTGATCTTTAGGAGTCAAAATAATCAGAAAATACAAAACTTTTAGAGAACATTTAACATTTCAAGAAATATACATTTTGCAATGTAAATATAGAAAAAAAGAAACATGAACAAACAAATGTGTAAAATTATTCATTCAAATAACCGAACGAAATTTCAGGCTAAATAGACGAATCAAAAACACCAATTCTGAAAAAGGTCAACTATTGTCTGCTATTGTAATGAATAGTAATTGGTTTCAGATTACGATGGAAAATTCATCCCTACTCGATGGTCAGCCCCAGAGTCCTTGTTGAATGACCGATATGACGCCATGTCGGACACTTGGATGTTAGGGTTGTTGATGCACGAGATTTTCACACATGGCGTTCATCCATTCAGGGATATGTATGCCACCACTCTGGATGACATTATGGAAAATGTAAACCGTGTCTTCATTTTTCTTTTTGTAGACATTTGATTTCCTTTCATTTCAATCAATTATATTTAAAAGATAGTTCATGAAAATAAATAAATCATAGATATTTGCAAAAAAAACACAATTGGTAAATATTTTACATTATGCGTATCGATGTTTTAGGTGGTGTTCAACAATCTGAGACCAAGATGGTATCCTTGCATCCCTTGTCCAATATTCGAGATCATCGGAGGGTGTGTTAAAACAAATCCAGATGAACGGCTTGAGCTACCCGAGGTTCTTAAAAAAATCCGCGATTGGCTTGGATTGCTACACACCGAAAATGGTTAATATTAAATGTATTTTGTTTTCGCAAATTACATTTTTTTTTTTATTCTTTTTTTTCCAATTGCATTTAATTTAATTACTTATTTTTGTTTTTTATTTTTTTGCCATTTTATTTTTTATTTTTATTTTCTATTATTTTTAGTTTGAGTTGATTTCATTTTTTATTATTGATTTATTTATTTAATCAGTTATTTTTATTTTCTTTATATAAATAGAAATAAAATACTGTACCAATCATATCATTTCAAGTTTTTGTTATGATATTTGTATGAGAATTGTTCATATCCTACTTTTATTAAATTGACGTTTCATTACTTTCATTAAACTTTGAGTATTCGAAGAAGCAGAATATTTTTACCCTTCCAGAATGCCGTACTATTATTAACGTTGTACTCTTTTCAAGCAACTGTTCATAATTTTGTCCAAATTTTATCGATTTTGAGTTCGATTTACGGTTTTGTTGCCACGTTATGTTATTATTATTTTTTTAATGTAATATGGCAGGATATAGCAAAATAGCAGTAGAGCAAACAGGTTTATAAAAGAGATTTAATAACTATTCAACCTTAAACAAATATTTGCTTTTTGATTTACAGAAAAAGTACCGAAGCTTCAACATGCAACGTTCAACAAGAAGAATTTAGAATATCCGGAATTGGACGAGCATCAAGGTGAACCTGAACGAGTAAGCTCCTTTACATAAATTTTACATTTGTTGAACAGTTCTTAATTGCTTAATATCCTTTTTCCATTACCGTATCGAAAAAGAAAAAAGCAAGCTGAAACTTGTTGTTTTGGGACATTTGGTCGGAATCATTCTTTGTTAATATCAAATCTGTGTTCAAGACGCTAAATATATTTAATTAACTCCCATAAGAAAGTAACATAATGTTTTTGGGGAAATGCAAAATGCGAAAACAAAACCCGGATATTTATCGGATTTTCCGTATATCACCTCTTCCTCACTGATAAGTCATAATATGTCCTCCAGATAGGTTATTTCGGGTGTGAATGTACTATTGGATATTGAATAGTGATTCTCTATATCAAGACCTATTTAGAATACACATTTATATTTATAATGGATTTTTTCCATCAGGTCTGGTTGACATTTCTAAAGCAATATATGCAATCTAAACTATAACATAAAAATGATTTTATTATAACGTTTTTAACCTTTTTGTTTGTTTGTTATTTAAGGGCCCAACCGAACAACTCAAGAACCAGAAAAAGACAATGAAAGGTAAGTGATTAAACAGTTACCGTTCGCTGTATGCTTGTATAGAAAATATTCAAATTTCGTTGTTAGAGGCATTTTTTTAGGTTTAGACTGTATTCTAATTTCTCGAGGTTTCATTATAGCCGTAAAGCATTGTTTCCTTAAAGGATTCAGTTGAAACCTCTATATGATGTAGTGTAATTCATATTTGACAAACTGCATCTATTACCTAAATTCAAAGGTGCAATATCCTGTGTGTGATACGTTCATCTTTCACGAATCAATTCTCGAGTCATATTTGCCATACATGGAATATTTATTTTGATTAAAGTGGCCCATAATAACCGGGTAAGCAGGCATAAGAATGAATTACAAACTATATTGATGTGGATATAGAGGCGGCAATGCCCGCGTCTACTAATACCCTATTAAAATCCTATTAAAAAAGTGAGTTCCATTGTTTATGTAGCGTAACCGAAGGAAACTCATTTGACCGACAATGTTGTTATATGGTATATAGAGGTTACCCAACGAGTGGTTGTTGACTATGGTATTTATTTCACTCGAGTTGGTTAATTTTCAAAAGCTACAAAAGACACGAGCTTTAGCGAGTGTCTTTCTGTAACTTTTGAAAATTAACTAACGAGAGTGATATAAATACCATACTCAACAACCACGAGTCGTGTGATATGTTTCTACCACAATCTCAGTCGGACACAGCTGGAGGATTTCCTGATTTGAATAGCATACACACATTTTGTTGACAAGGCTGGCGTAGTGGTATAAACCATTAATATTCAAAAATTACTTTTTTTTTTTTTTTACAAATTTAATAATTTTCAAAATTAATGTTTCGGCAACAACTTCGTGGATTTTTTTTTAGAGGAACGACTTAAAATATTGAGAGTATTCAATATTGCATAAATTAAGTCTGCCTCCCGCCAAGTGATGAAGACGAACTAATCGCTGTCAATGTCCAAAATGTCTATGGTTGACGTTTATGGTGAGAGTTCCGCCATAGACAGGCCCTCCAAATATTGATAACAGGACATGGGGAGAACGACACTGTTACAGATCTTATTTGGGTTTCACAGAGACATACTGTATATATTACGTCGCGGGGGTTCACGACCTGGACACGCGACGGTATCGCGTCGAAACGATATCGAGCGTCTGTAGCAATTTTGCCTGAAATCAAATCTTTAAGCACCATCTTCTTTTGGTATTGCATTAATAACCCCCTTTTTCCATCGCATAACCTTACAAAAGTCACCAACATTTGCCGGATGTTGACAGCTGACGACGTAAACAAAACAGGACGCGGCAAAAAGCGCGTGAAAAAAGTCGTCCGGTCAAGGTTTCTCGACCAATCAAAGCTACGGAAGTTCATATACCACGTGTGGTGTATAACTCTTATTTATTCAACAGTCTGCATGTTTATACAATGATCTGAGAGTGGAATAACACAGCGTATTGTGGTAGAAAAATATTTATTTTATTTTGCATATTTTTTATCTTGAACATTGCTGTAGAAGTTCACAAAACGGAATTTGATGTTTTAAGCTAATCTATTACTTTTCAATTATTGCTCGACATTTATTGCAGAAGGCTTTATATTCATTTTGCTGGGTATTTTTTTCCCGCAATTATAACTAATATTATTATCCATATGTTGTAAAGCAACTTGGAGTTATTTTACAATTTCTATAGGGCGCTATATAAATGTTGCATATTATTATTTAATGTTAAATTATTATGCTGTTTATGTCTACTACTTTAAGAAAATCATTTCAATAGAATGACTTTAACAATATTTTTTTTTGTACATTAGGTTCAAAGGCATCCTATTACAATAACTTAGAACTGAGAAAATTGTTAATGTACGAAAACAAAATCAGAATCAAAGAGGAGCACTTGAAAGCTGTAGACCATCCAACCATAGATAAAAAGGTACAAAAGGATGATTTTGATAAATAATGATTATCAATCATGGACTTTTGTTGAGGTGAATATGTGGTAATATGGACCTGAGAAAGTTATATCAACCGAAACGAAGTGGAGGTCAATATCATTTCGTCTCGGACGGTATCACTATCTCAATCCATAAAACCACAAATTCACCGCAATAAAAATCTAAAATTGTTATATTGAATGTCAAATAATGTTTAAATCTTTAAACAAATTCATTTGATATCAAATCAATTTTATTGTATTCAAATAACGCAATTGGATGAGGCACAGGCATTGCCTATAAAAACCCTTTCCAGAGAAAATACACACATTTCATACATTCATATGTACATATATATATATAGAGAGAGAGTATTATAGAGAAGATGTAGTATATGTTCGAATTAATAGGAGAATACTAGAACCATTTAATACATGTTCACAGAAAATAATATCTAGAATATCATAGATTTTAACATTTCAATTAATATAGTATATTTACTTCAATTATTAATAGCCTAGTGTTTGGTTGGAGGCACTTCAAAGACACTGTCACTATACACAGTGCCATCCTTCCCAATTACACCTGAGTTATTGTTATAAAGTAGCAAATACAAACATATTGTAATATAATTTTTAGTATAGTTTAAGTTAAAATCTTCCAGATTTGTCAATAATCTCCAGAACACATGAGAGAATACATTTATTTGATTCACTGCTGAGGTTCATATCACCCTTAGTGAAAGTAACAGTATTTAATTTTAAATTGTTGTCAATTTCGTTATGATTAGATAACGCATTGAATAAAACTTGTCTTTCATCTATATATTTAGGGCAATTGAGGAAGAAGTGATTTGCATCTTCAATAATATAACCACAGTCACACTTAGGGTTATCTGTAAGATGATCATAATATAAATCTGATTTTAATTGGCTGACTTTATTCCGTAGTTGACATAATGTTATATTCAACTTCCTGGAGCCACCGTATTTAAAAATATCCGCACAGTTAGATGGTTGCAAAACGTGTGTGCTTTCCTTACGTAATTCCAGTTTTAACTGGCACAATGAAGTGAGTTTTGGAAAAATACAGTCTGGCCTATTCCATAGAAACATCATTCTAGGAAAAAAGCTATTTTGATACAAGTTGGTTCTGCACAAGGGAACAATAAAGTTTCTATGATGTCTAAGGCGAGGATTAATATCATTATTAAAATATGGTTAAATACAATCATAAAGATGGTCAGGACAGTCATGCTGCAGTATCTTGAAAAATAATATACATTTGTAATTATCACGTCTTATTTCTAGTTTATCTACACCAACTTCCTTATATATTAAGTTATGACATGTACCTCTTCTCAAACCTGATATAATTCTGAGACATTCTAATTGGACTGATTCCAATAAGTCACTTTCACCCTGGGTGCAATTATTCCACACAGCACAAGCATATTCAAGTGTTGGTCTTATAAAAAATATATAAATTATTTCAAGAGATTTTCCATCTAGCTTGTGTTTGAGCATTCGCATTATTTGTAGTTTTGTACAGCTTTTTCCATATATATAATTAACTTGATCAGACCATGATCCACGACTATTAAAAAACAAACCAAGATGTTTTTGATTTTTGACATTTATAACGACACTAGTTGAGAATACCAAATCTGGATGAGATGTCTCAGAATTATTATTATTAGACATAAGTAATGATTCAGTTTTACTTGGATTAAATGATATTCCCCATTTTTCAGCCCAGAGAGACATTCTCCTTAAATCCTCATTAAGAATATCTGCAGCATGTCTGCCATCACCATCTATCAAAACGTAAAGAGAAGTGTCATCAGCAAAGAGTTTGACATGGGAGTGGAGTTCGTCTTCTAGGTCATTAATACATATTAAAAATAAATAAGGCCCGAAAACCGAGTCTTGGGGTACACCAGCTTTTAATGTTTGTAAATTTGACTTGCAGCCATCTATTAATACCCTTTGTTGTCTATCATTAAGATAGCAATGAATCAAGTTCAAAACGTCGTCACAGACTCCATATTTCTTCAATTTGTAAATCAATCCACTGTGCCAAACCCTGTCAAAAGCTTTGCTGATGTCACAAAATACTATCCTTGCCTCTTTTCCTTGATCAAGTTGTTTTGAAGCTTCATCATATAAATATATTAATTGGCTAACTGTGGAGTCATTGGGAAGGAAACCAGACTGATTTTTTTTATATAACATTAATCTCAGATCGAAAATTAAAGAGATGTTTAAAAACTTTTTTTTAAAAGAAGTTTACTAAATAATGATGTGACATAGATTGGTCTATAGTAACTGGGGTCACCTCTTCCTCTCTTGGCCTTATATATTGGGGTAATATTAGCACACTTCCAAATATTAGGTATGCAACCAGTGGATATGGATTTGTTAAAAAATAACAGTAAGGGCTCTACAAGAGAGTCAGCAATACCTTTAATAAAATAAGGGGGAAGTGCATCTGGACCAGCAGTTTTTTTTACTAATAAGTTGAATCTGATCATGAACATCCTCTTCAGTGATAATAATGGAAGATATTTTTTCTTGTGAGATAGGACAATTAGGAGGAATGTCAAGGTCAGTTTTGTCAGAAGTAGAGACAGAGGTGAAATATGAGTTAAAAGATTCTGCTTTATCAACAGGATGTGATTTAAGTTCGTCATTTATTACAAGAGGAGCATCATTGTTTGATTTATTGTTAATGTTCATAATTGACTTTGCAACCCGCCACCACTTACCTGGAGGAATAGATTTGTCAATAAGGGAATTTTGAAGTTTAATTAGATATGTTTGCTTAGCTTCTCTTACAAGGTCAATAACTGTGTTTCGCATATCTATATATCTATAAATTTTTGCCAGGCTGCAGTAGTATTAGTATGTTTGGCCCTGGTATGTTGACGATTTCGTTTCCTAATGTGTAATCTAATATCATTGTTCATCCAGACTTTATCATTTGGACGAATAGTGACAACTTTATGTGGTACATATTTTTCAATACAATTATGAATTTCAGTGGAAATAAAATTATTCATAGTCTCTATATCAACATTTTCATTCAAACATGTATCCCAATCAATTTTAGATAAATAGATGTTAGCATTAGCAAAGTCAGTATCACTAAAGTACATAATAGTCTTTTTATATGCAGATTTCTTATGAGTTTTGAAAGATATATTGCAACTAATTGGACTGTGGTCACTACAAATTTGAGTTTGGACAGAGGGATTTTTTACTATATCAGTATTGTTAGTCATAGTAATATGGAGAGATGTAGAAGAGGAAGGAGTAGTTCTTGTAGGTTCGTGAATAATATTAGTAATGCCAAACTTAGTCATAATCCGCATGATGTGAGAATTTGGTTGTACGTTTAGCATGTCCCGATTGATGTCTCCAATAAGTATATAATCTTTGCCAAGTTCAGTGATATTGCCCAAGACATCATCAAGTTTACTCCAATAATCCACAACAGAGTTTGGGGTTCTATAGATGCAACCTAAGAGTATTTTATTATGACTAAGAGTCATTTCAATCCAAATGATTTCTAAATCTGCTTTCCCTTAGTCTAGCCTCCTTTTAGATATAATTTTGTCATTGGTATAAATAAGAACTCCTCCACCTCTTCTATCAAGTCTGTCTTTACGGAAAATATGAGAGTGATCAGATAAAGAAATAGCATCGTCAGGGAAAGAGTCATTGAGATGATTTTCCGTAAGGCAGATGATGTCATGATCAGTAAGTGCACTCTCAAGGAAATCAGCTTTATTTCTAAGTGAGCATATATTCAAATGTGCAATTGATATGCCATCAAGGAGTGAGTAATTTCCAATATTACCAGGAGGACCGGGATTTGTATGGATATCCATACACAGTAAAATAAGTTTAATTTTGATGATAAGCATAAATATTATATTAAAAATATTCTCTCCATGTGAACAGAGTAGATATGAAAAAATCAATAGCAAAACATTAGCAAGTGTGAATATATGAAATGTATGCAGGTGATACTTCAATGAAAATGTGTTTGAAATGATAGGATAATTATAGGGACAGTCACTATTTACAATATGTACATACAAGCACAAACATAGCAACATACTTACTCGAGCGCTGGACCTGGACAAATTCTCAGCCTTCCATTCATTGTCATTAGGACACTCACGTTACTATATTTACAACACATTCAAACATTAAACAAATTGAAAGTGTGAAAGCTTTCAGAAGTAGTTTTCTGTATTTGGTAATGAGCAGTGTGACTTTACAATTGAAAGAGCGTCTTAAAGTGAATATTGATCCGCTGATTCTTAAAATATTAACACCAAGTAAATATCACAAATCACTGATCTCCACATGATAATGATCAAACCGATGGGGATGTACTTAAAGTGTGTGTCATCTTATATATTTGGTGATCGAAGAAAAGACCGATAAAAAAGTGCATTCTGAAGAAATCAAGAAACAGCTGACGTTAAGAATGCATTCACCGTCAAAGATCTAGTTAAATCCGTATAATTCATTTCAAAAATAATATGAAAAGGCAAAGCCTTAAAAGAGCGTAGCTTTTATTGATCTCTGATATTTACTGATTAAGAATACAACTTTCAGAATGAATTAAGATAAACTCTGTTTAAAGTCTGTTTAAAGTCGACTAGTCAAGGATTAACAATAAAACACAAGCTCTAATGAGATTAAGACCAACATAACAATAGGGAGACCGGGGCAAGTTCGGCCTTTTTTTCTTTTCTTTTTTATTTAAATCCGTTCTTGGAAGTATGGCAGCACATTAATTCATTTTACATTAAAGTTTTCCTCACCATTTTCTCGTCGTTGAATAACCAGCCAACTAAACTGTTATTTATCATCCTTCCTGAAATAACCGATGAAGGCCGATGGATTGTGACGTGCTTGTGACGTCATAGTATGATAATCTCTGAACGAAGTTTCATGCCTGTTAGTATCAGATTTTATGTGATAAACATGAAGATTGTTTTCACTATATGAAGATGTTCATGTATGGGTTGAAACACAGTTGTCTTTGCTTCAAGGATACACTTCTTGTTTCCCCACTGGACATCTACTTCCGAACGAAAAAAAATAAAGCCAACGTGTAGAGAGGGTGAGCAACTCTGTTTACGCACGCATGTGTTACCATTAAAGCTTCGAATTAGAAAGAAACAAAAGTTTCGGGGATCATTCGACAGAAACAAACACAATTAAACAAATATAGAGTGGTATTTATGTTTTTAACAAATTGCTTTAATACAGTTCCATATAGATTGTAATTTTAATTGAAAATAAATTCTTTTTCGTAACATTTTTTGTAGGAAGGTGGTCTGGAGGTACGTGAACCTGTCTCAAAGGCATTTATGAATGACACGTTTCCCAAAATGACGTCAAAACCAGAATTCATCGCGGCTCTTACCATAGCCGACAATCCAGTAAACCTGCCGAGAAACAGCACAAATCCCGACGGATTAATCCGGACGCTTGTTAGTTACTTGTTTTTCTCTAAATATAACAGCTAACATTGAATCAGCCATTTTCTGTCAATTTTTCTTGATAAGAAAAAAAAAAGAGTAAATGTGCGTGGATAGTGTTTGAATATAATGAGTGAATAAAAAGTAAAAAAGCCCAACAAATACGCGTACACGTTTTGAATATATCTTTTTATGTTTTATACACTGTCAGCTTAAACAACAAACGTAATTACAATATCTGGTGTTAAATACCTACCTTTTCGTTATTTTTTCCAGGTGTACAGATGTCAAAATGCAGAATCATTGTACGAAATAGCACAAATCTACAAATTTGGAGATCCGCGTGACGAAGAGAACCAACTTTCGTATCTCAAAGTTGTAGAGAGCCTTGTTCAGTTTGTCAACTGGATGCACGAGCGAAGTTGGATACTAAGAGATATATGTTGCTCCACAGCATACAGGGCTGTGGAAGATGGACGGGTAAGATATCGCACATATACGGATTGAATGGCATTTTGTTCTGCTGGTATGAATGCAAATCAGTTACATGCATATTCTATAGCGGGCTTCATGTTACATACATGCGTGAATATTGAAAAAATGCGGCTCAATCCTTATATTTACCCTTATAATATTTGACCTATTGTTTTTGATGTTTAAATGTTTCTGACGTCAGTGTAAACGAGATTCATGAAATAGCCCAACGTCACCAAAATGTTTGCTTCTGATGGTTGTCTCATGTTATTCGAGGCGGGATGAAAAGCTACAAAATGACGCTGATCTTATTGCGGTTTAAAGCTATATGAACGAAATTTCTTCTGGAATGCTTATGTTAATTTATATATATATATATGTATGGCATGTAAAATCCATATTTGATTTATCATCACTTCATGACATCATAATTGAGAATTTCATCGATAACTATTATTTATGCGCTGCTTCCATTTTATCAGGTATTTATGCCACGGCTAGGGAGAATGATTAAGGATAAGAAAAGAGTTTCACGGATAGAAGCGTGTATTATCGATAAAAACACGTGCATAGATGACAGACGCAACTGGTAAGTGGGTTTCGTCTTTATTTTTATCTCATGAAGTTAAAACGTGTCTCTGTGTACATGCAATAGTATACAAAATCTAGGTTTAACAATATGCTGCATTCACAGTACAACATAAACTCAATAACAAATATCGATTTACATCGAAGTACCTTCATTGAGACGAGTCCATACACTTTTTGAAGCCTATATTATTGAAACATTCATATTTTCTGCTGTATTCCAATTTCCAAAAGCATATTTGTAGTAAATTGTTGTCGATGTTTGTCATACTGTATATGTACTACATTTAGTATTACCTATAATGTGTGTTCTTGGGTGTGACGTCACCACTATGTGTGTAGTGGAAGAAAAATGTGGCCAACATGAATGTTATTGTCAGCTATACTCCCCTAGCGCCCGTTCGACACAACATTTATCACAAAACAAATTGATTTGATGACGATTAAAAGTGGTTTTGGTTAGGATGCCAGCTGAGGTGATCAATGGTGGACAGTTTTCTCAGGCAAGTGATGTCTATATGTTAGCCATGACAGTGTACGAGTTCTACAGTACAGCTGACCTAGGTAGAAACAACCCTATGCACAATCGTCTGGCGTCTGTTCCATTCGCCGAAGTGGATCCAAAATTAGTAAGTACATCAACTTTTGCGATATCGCAATGCTTTCGAAGACTTTCGTGTTCAGTAAAAAAGAATATCGATATTAAATCCATATTTATTCACAAATGATTGAGCAACGAATTTGATACTTTTCGCGAATGCAGAACCCCATCGGGAAAAATTTACAAAGAAATTCTGTATACCGGACATTTTTGCTGTAGTTTAATTTTCGTTTCTTCACCACCTGTTATGACGGCGAAATTATCATTACAGCGAATATTTTGAACAACATACAACATTGTAATAAGATTTGAAGGGCATAAATGATATTGGGTGAAAATTGATTTTACCGTCGAACGGCGAAAAATTCGACTGGGATACAGTAACATAACAAATATGTCTACAGTAGTAAATATTTGTTCTTAAGTACATGCATCTGTAAGTACCTTTTTGGAAAATTAAATACTGACATGAAACAAAATTTCTCACCCTCGCTATGTCAGTAAGTTTAACTTTATCAATGTTTCCAATCGCCAGTACTTTATTTTCTTAACCTCATATTAAACGGCCTTGTCATTGACTAGTAAGCCGCCCCATGCTGGGTCCTTCCTCTTAATGCCTGACGCCATATTTGTTGCAACATGTGTTTATGATGTTCGTTGTGCTGCATAAAGTCTTTACTGCAAGAACACGGTGTCATTCCTTATTGTCGAATATTAAACTTGGTGATGTCTTAAGGTAATGATGGCTAGGTAAAGACAGGCGTATTTTTTTGCTAGCAAAAACCAATGGAAATGCACCTGTGAAACGTTGGAGAAAATTGTGATACTTTATATGTATTTTGCAGTTACTGGATACATTAAACCGTGGCATACAACCCGCCAAACCGATGTCATGTCCACAGTGGCTTTATGAATTGATGCAACAGTGTTGGGATAGAGACTCGACACAGCGCCTGACAGCAGCTGCATTTCTGTCTGAGATTTCAGAAAAGTAAAGAGAAATTGACTTGAATATATCGAGACACAGTTATTTCTAAAACAACGTATGCAATTGAAGAAAAGATAAATTGAAATTAACTATGTTATCGAAGAGAGATTATTATTAATATACTCTCAAAAGATATAAACTTCCTGTCATACAATTTTCAGGAATGCTTATTTTCGCTGTTCTGGTTCAAATTACATATTCGCGAACAATTTTATTTCGGAAAATAATAATGACCACAATTTGTTCCTTGTTGCGGTTTTGAAATATTTTCACAAACAAATTATAAATTATGAATTTTTAAGCTTAAACTATTTTCTTTTTCAGGTTAGCAACAAAAGGTGGCTCAACTCGTAATAATCGTATGGCGCCCAACACAAACGATTACTACGAGAGTGGAAATAGCGACTCAAGTGATACGTTGAGAAAGGAAGTATATCCCTCGAGCAATCAGCCAACACTGCCTTCAAGACAAAACAGCTGCTCATGCGGAAACAGTTCATGTGGAGCAGAAGTTACGTGCTCATGCAGAAACAGTTCAAGCGAAACAGGCAGTATCGTTTCATGCGGAAACAGTTCATGCGAAACATGCAGTGTTGTCTCATGCGAAACAGGTAGTGTTGTTTCCTGCGGAAACAGTTCATGCGAAACATGCAGCGTTGTCTCATGCGGAAACAGCTCATGTGGCACAAAAAATGAATTTGAATTGAATACACGATTGTAGTAGGTCATAGGTCAGTTGACCATACGACAAATTTGATGTTATTGTTATGAATTATTATCCACCGTTTCATTGACTATAAAGTCACCGTGCCGCGATTTGACGGCAAAACTGCAGTTAAAATTGTCTCTAAAGTATGTAAATATTATCAATATATTGGTATGAAAAGATTAAAAATTCGAATGGCTTATGTTTATCTTAAGTTAAAGTGTACGAAGCCTTTTCCCGACTGCTACTTATCTCAGCAGGCGAAGGGTTGAAGCCATGTTTACATTATTATCATGCATACGTCAACTCTCACGAGATGGACGTCCCTAGAGCAGAATCCAACGAATGGCGACTGTGTGGGTGGGGATCAGAGAAAATGTTTATATAATACTGTGTGATCAACAGTGTAAGAGATAATGATTTCACAGTAAACGTGCTAAACACGACTTGATAATTCATTTATGAAAAGTATTTACAAAACGAAAGGATCATAATAGCACAAGCGCGCCAAAACTTGACAGGAAATACTGCCATTTTTAAAGGGCCCTATTTGGGCATGTGTGATATTTTGTAAATCATCGAATTCTTTCCTTTTTTCTGATATGGTTTACACGTTTCACACCCTAAGAACGATATGAACGGAAAGTTATTCACATTTGCTATGTAAGAAAAGTAAGAAATGTTAGTTTTATCATGCTGATAAGATTAAAGTATGAAGGTTAGCGGCACGGTAACTTCAAGAAAAAGAATATACTGCTAAAGTTAACTGGAATTAGTGTATGAAGGACCTTAGATAAATAATGTATTATACATGTTTTAAGTGTGGCAAACATTGACCCCAAAGCATTCATAAAATGTTTCAACAGGTTCTTATCAAATTAGATGAAATTCTTTGTTTAATTGAAGTGTATGATCATGCTAAACAAATTCATTGTTTTAAGGTCCTCTGAACGATTCTTGCATGTTTACCAATAGCATGTGTTTATGGATTTTTTTTTATGAAAATGCCGACTTTCTGTATGAGTGTTTCAACGCAATATTTACCGTCAGCCTTGTCGGTGGTAATGACATTGGTAAACAAATCCTTGCCAGCTTTTCTTCGAGCCTAAATGGTATTTTAAACATTACACCAGTGTTTTTAAATACATTAGTTAATCTGTTTGTATTTTACAAGTTTAATATACTCTCCCATTTAAAAAAAACTAAAACAAATATGATTTTATCACCTTAAGTTAAAAGAAATTTTAAACTTATACAAGCTTTTATCTGATTTAGATTTTGTTTTGCCGTCTCATCTTAAACAGATTATTAAGGCCCTAATTACCTATAGCTGCCGACGGGCCGCCGTGAAACACAAAGAAAGCAAACTTACACCAGTCATACTTCTAAAATATAAGTTTGAACTTGAGTGTTATTATTCCAGAGTACTATCATTTATAAGATTATGTCTTATAAGAGACGTAGAGACCTTTTATTGATACAAATATTTTTTACACAGCATTAAGTATATATATTTATAATTAATACGACCTTAGCATGACCAGCGACTATCAAAACATTTTTATACATTTATAATCAGAGCAGGATGATTACAGTAGTATACATATAAAACGATAAAAAAATGATTATTTTTACTTGGAGTAAATTCTATACCGTAGTTATCGAGGCAATTTATGCACATGAAGATGATACTATTGATAGATGTAATTATGGCAAGCCAACTTAAAAGTTATTCAAGGAGCCGAATTTCATAAAACTATGTAAGATATCTTGTATAGTATATGAGATATCTTATTTGATATATAAGATCTGTTTTATACTATATAAAAAATCTTATATAGAAGTTAAATGAGATGTTATATTAGATATCTCATATACTGTATAAGATGTCTCATTCAATTTTCTGTATAAGATTATATAAGAAATCTTATACTAGAATGAGATTTAAACAAAATGTCAAAAACCGGGTCCCCCACCCGGAATCTTTCGAGGATCTAGTAGTAGAAAATGCAGTAGGCTTGCTATCAACACGTGGTCCTGTCGTCATTATGTCATTATACCATAATCCTACATAGTGCTAAATCCTGAATGACGTACTCCGAATGATTCTATATATATCATATAGTAACGAGATTTCAATTATATAAGTTATCTTATTACATAAGATATATTAGAGATAAAATTATATATAATATTTTATATACTTAATTAAAATTTCTCATTGAATTTCTGTATGAGACATCTCATTTAGTATATTACATATCTAATATATTAAATAATATATCTTGTATATTATATGAGATATTTATATATCATATAAGATATCTTATATCGTATACAAGATATCTCGTATAGTATATGATATGTCTTATATATTATATCAGATATATCATATATAAAAGAGATCTCTTATTTATATGAGTTATATAAATTGATGAAATGCAGGACCGACATTGCTCCTTGAATAAATAAAGTTTGGCGTGTCGTATGTGTTTACTTAAAATCTGTATGGCTAAAGTATATATCCTGCTTTGTTCCGTCCAGAATTTGTGATACCAAACCTAACCCGGATATTCGTATTATTTCACATGGTGTTTTAACCGTATTGATATAAACTATTTATTAATTTATAAACCCACTGTATATTTTTATTAGGGTGGTTCAAATTGATATAAAATCTATTAAATGTCACCCCAAAGGAGACAATATACAATATGTTCTGGTTTATTTTGTTGCATTATAGCAAGTCGTTGTTTCTTTCGTATTCTTTTACATACAGTAGTGTGGACTTAAAACTTATGAAAGACGTAGAGACCTTTTATTGATACAAAGATTTTTTACTAAACATTAAGTATAAATATATTATTTACATTGCCTTATCATGACCAGCGACTATCAAAACATTTTTATACATTTATAATCAGAGCAGGATGATTACACTAGTATACATATAAAACGATAAAAAATGATTATTTTTACTTGGAGCAAATTCTATACCGTAGTTATCTACCAAGGCGAGGCAATTTATGCACATGAAGATGATACTATTGATAGATGTAATTATGGCAAGCCAACTTAAAAGTTATTCAAGGAGCCGAATTTCATAAAACTATGTAAGATATCTTGTACATGTATAGTATATGAGATATCTTATTTGATATATAAGATCTGTTTTATACTATATAAAAAATCTTATATAGAAATTAAATGAGATGTTATATTAGATATCTCATATACTGTATAAGATGTCTCATTCAATTTTCTGTATAAGATTATATAAGAAATCTTATACAAGAATGAGATTTAAACAAAATGTCAAAAACCGGGTCCCCCACCCGGAATCTTTCGAGGATCTAGTAGTAGAAAATGCAGTAGGCTTGCTATCAACACGTGGTCCTGTCGTCATTATGTCATTATACCATAATCCACCATAGTGTTAAATCTTGAATGACGTACTCCGAATGATTCCATATATATCATATAGTAACGAGATTTCAATTATATAAGATATCTTATTACATAAGATATATTAGATATAAAATTATATATTATATCTTATATACTTAATTAAAATTTCTCATTGAATTTCTGTATGAGACATCTCATTTACTATATTACATATCTAATATATTAAATAATATATCTTGTGTATTATGAGATATTTATATATCATATAAGATATTTATATATCATATAAGATATCTTATATCGTATACAAGATATCTCGTATAGTATATGATATGTCTTATATATTATATTAAATATATCATATATAAAAGAGATCTCTTATATATATGAGTTATATAAATTGATGAAATGCAGGACCGACATTGCTCCTTGAATAATTGTAGGCTGGCGTGTCTTTTGAGTTTACTTAAAAATCTGTATGGCTAAAGTATATATCCTGCTTTGTTCCGTCCAGAATTTGTGATACCAAACTTAACCCGGATATTCGTGTTATTTCACACGGTGTCTTAACAGTATTAATAAAAACTATTTATTAATTGTATAAACCCACTGTATATTTTTATTAGGGTGGTTCTAATTGATATAAATTCTATTAAATGTCACCCCAAAGGAGACAATATACAATATGTTCTGGTTTGTTTTGTTTCATTATAGCAAGTCGTTGATTCTTTTGTATTTTGTTACATAAAGTAGTGTGGACTTAAAATATCCACTTTTAAATTCTTAATTATATGTTATATATGTAGAGCAGGTTTTTTTTTTTTATATGTACACAGAAGATGTTAATATATAACCAATACGCGATCTGCTTTGAATAATGACGCCACGAAACACAAAAACAATGATTTCCTGACATGGTTTCATCAAACGTATGTGTGTAGTGTTAACTTTTTATAGCCTTTTGTAAGATTAATGTGACTGAGTAGAATGTTATATTTTAACCTTTCAGTTTTGCCGCATCATAGAGTGAACTAAGTAACCTTATTATCTCAGCTGTCGAGTGTCTGCACAGGCCATATAACCGCTGAGCTGATTGGCTGAGCTGTTGTTATTCAATTTGATAGGTCTGATCTGATTGGCTGAAAATGTTAACGGACGATATATCCGTTATTAAAACGCTGAGGAAAGCAAAGACAGGAGTCAATTATAGATGATCACGCTTGGTTTTCAGAGCTTGTCGTGAGAACAATTTTCTCATCGCGAGTACATGGGTGAAACCGAGAGGCCACCGCAGGTGACCCGAGAATAAGATAGTTTATATGTGATGATACTATAGTTTATCATATATATATACTACCACGTTATATATTTCTTCATTTAAAAAGGTCAACTAAACACCATACTTTTCAAATGACTTCTAGGCTGCGTGGCCATCTATCGCAAATACTTGGTTGGTGACAAACGTAAACAAATAGAATATTTGCACGGAGGAATACCATAAACCTTGAAACTATGTAGAACAAAAATATTTTTTAAAACAATATCATTGTCATTGACTTGTCCATATGCACATTTACGCTTAAAATGGTACTCTTATCCTTTGAATATTTTTCCGAAACTATATATTGTTTTGTTTAAGACGGACTATTTTCTTACACGGATCACTTTTGTGTGGATACTATTTCCGGTTTAGGACATCACCTGGAGCGAGCAGACGTTCTTTTTTGAGAACATTCGTTCCCAAATGTTGGGAAATTGGAAAATCCGTTCTCAAGTTCTTCTCAAGTCGTTCTCAACTTCTTCTCATACTGACAACCCATCAAAATGAGTGTATCATGATACCGGTAGGTGGAATAAAGTGATATGTAGATGATAATTAAGAGCATTGCTTAAAGAAACATTAATACTAGATCAATGGAATGGTGCTTTGATTAGGATTTCTTTAAATGTGAAGATATATATTGTCCACTTGTGATTAACTCATTTCATATTTATATCTCACTAAAATAGTATTATCTAGACACGAAAGAATGCCACTTCATCAGCACAGGGACCTGAGAATTTGTTTCAGCTCTATTTGGACCAAAACTTGGATGTTGAATGTATTTTTTTTTTTTTTACTTTTTTAAGGGTAAAGCTCAAGTTTCGGTAAAAAAAAACAACACCCCCAATGATGGCGTTTTCGGAGATTAGATCGAATTTCGGTAAAATTGCCCCAATCGCCAAAATGTAGCCCCGAAAATGTGTAAAATTACTATGAACATCTGAGTTCAGATACAAATATAGCCGTAAAAAAGTATCGGGTCACACTATACTTATAACGGCTTACCATATGTACTTTCCACACTAACCTGTGCTAAAATAGTAAATGCAGACTCTCCGGTGTCCACTTAACAGAAGACATGGTAGACAAACTCCAAAATTCTGCTGGGAACCCCATATTTGTCGCCCCATACGAACATGCAGTGGGATACAGCATGTCTGTGTTCCACCTTAACCTGGAAGGGGCGTGTCGGTTAGGTTTCGGATGTGGATGTGTGTGTGAGGATGTGAGTTAAGTTATGTCTGTCTGTGTATATAGATAATGTTAGTTCCGGAAAGAGTAACAGTTTATCGTGATGAAGTGAAGTGTATATGTAAATTAGAATTTCAATTGTCGAGTCTATGAATTTATGCTATAAAGACTTGTTTGCGAGGGCGTTAATCATTTAGAAAGAAACAGCCGGGCGACGCAAGTCACTGTTATCCTGTTGAAGGTAAGTCAGTATTTATTAAACGATACAATATTGGTATATATTAACTTCAATTTACATTAGGTTGGTAGCATTTGGGCTAATTGTTAGATTGGAACAATCACAAGATGACGTAGTAGATACCTTTGTGAAAAGACTTAGTTTTCTGTCAACAAAGCACCATGAAAACATTCTGCCATAACAACAATTAACACTCAAGTAAATCACACTACTTGTATGATAGGTTCGTCTAATTTTTAATTTCTTATATCCATTTATATCATTATCAAAAAAATTGAATTATAAAATTTTGATTCAGATGTTGGAAATTCACATAATGTTTTGGATATATCCTTTGTCTCGTTAACACTTACAGGTTCGGATAAAGAAAACACTGCTTTATCCAACTATGCTCTCGTTAGAGGCGACTCTCATTTCTTGCCGAGAGAAATAGGGTGGTGGAGGGAGCAGAACAAATCACAATTGATTTGCTGCACCCTTTGCAACACTTGGTGTTGTGTAAAGGTTCGCCATTTCCTTCTTCTTGGAGTTGGTTCCTCCTGTGATCGGTTCCTTTTGATATGGCTTTTAGCCTCACCTTTGCTTTTATACTTGTGTGTACACACTAAACGTTACGCTATGTTGTCCATATCCACAAATGTCCAGTGTTTCTCTCTCTTACATTCTCGACTACACCCCTGGATTATTTCATGGTGGAACTGATTGGTATTACCCAAGAAAACATTCCCAACATTTTAGTGCCATTGTATAGTAACAAGATATTTTTCTTCTGCTTTTCTTTGAATTGTTTTTATCTTCCTCTATATATCCGCCATTGTTGTTTTCAGGAATACAGTTGACAATTAAGTATAGGGTAGTGATGAATAATGTTTTTCAGAAAATGAAACAATTCATCAAAGCAATAGACCTACTACACATATATTTTCATCTTACGTCTCAGATTGCATCCGTTTATTGCGTGAGTGTTCGTCGAGTATACCCATGGCAGCAATGCACTCGTGCAGTACGTGACGTAAGAGGAACAAATATATGTTATTTAGCCTATATAATCAATTCTATGGAGTTATGATCTGGTGAATGTTACTGCTGTAGTGACATGGTTATGTACATGTTTACTGATGTCTTGCATGTTGTTGTTTTTTTATATACATAATGCATTTTTTAAATCATATTGTTTGAACAATACCGACAATGTGGGGTAAACATTATATAAGCATTCCTGTCCCATTACAGGCAAATCACTAGTGAATACCTGTGTGGATTTTCGAATATATATATAATGTCACTTACTCTGAATTGTTTGGCTATAACTTTAAGGAAATTTGGACAGAGTATTTCCGCTGACCAGACAAGCCAGCTCAGTGGTTAAGAACGACAGTATACCAATTTAAGCGTTCGAATCCTAGTATAAAAGAAATAACTCAGAGCATTGTTATTTATAATCATTTGTTGCATTTATTTCATCTCTATTACTCTTTTTCATTAAAGTCCCGAAATGTATGTTTTCTTTACATAATTGATTTATTACAGCGGTTGGGGATTCATATAAGTATGTATAAATACACGCTAACGTGTGACTGGTACACCATGTCTCTTACTTCTTGACCTTTTAAAATTTGAATTGTACTTTCCGGATTTAACAAATACTTATCTATACTCGAGGACTTGATACCGTAAACAACGAAATAAAAAGGCCACGTATTTCTAGTAATTGTTTTACATAACAAGCTGCCGTCTCTGTTGGTAGACGAAAGTTTGTTGTATACTGGTTGTTTGATTCTGATTAGGTTCACCTGATATAAAACTTGAAAAATAAATTATATATTGTTGTAAAAAAAAAATTAAAAAAATCGAACGGTTTTCTAGGAATCTTTCTCGTTTTGTTGTATTCTCGGGATTTGCTTTTGTGTCCTCTATTTGGGGACACAAAAGCAAAAACATAAATTTGCTGCACCCATTGCAATTTCAGCGATGTTTTTCTTTCTTTCTACTTCTAACTACCTTTTGTTTCTTAACGCCTTGCTTGATAATACCTCACTTTTGGCGTTAATGTTGAACGTTTGCCCAGGTGAAGCAGGCAATAGGTTCTGTTCAAAAGCTGGGACATACTAGAGTCCTTTAAAAAGGTAGTTGTTATTCCCTGCTTAACGTTCAGCATTTAGGAGAATGGCAACAACTGTTTCACCCTTTGTCAGTATAATTTTACCAGGCGGATGCTGTGCTGGGTGCCTTCGGTATTGCATTTCAGTGAGAAAGCCCTATCAAATCTGCGCTATCACAAGGATGCAAACACACAACATACCCTGTCTCCTGCACATACACACACGCAAGCGAGCGAGCACACACTTCACACATGAATGGAAGTCATAAAACGACATTAGCTGTTAATAGGACGTTAACAAATTAAACTTTCTACATCGTAAAATTAAAGTGTATGCAGGTGCTCCCTCACTACGTATTGAAAGTAATATTGTTTCATGTACAGTCAGTTTTTTTAATGTTTGTTTTTCTAGATTTTTTTGTTTTTGCAACGACCTGTGACACAATGTCCCAATGGTATATCAGCCAGACACAATGTTCTCCGTTCCCCCACATTTAAAAAAACCCATAGGGAAACGAATGTTGTTAGAAGGATTATAGTCAGTTTCTGAGTAGTATAAATTGTATTTACCTGTGAATGAAATATAATATTTTTTCAGAGTTTGAACAACTTTTTATATTAAAAATATTTCAATATCAATTATATATATCAATTAATATGCTCCATATTGAATACACCCATTTTGTAGACCTTCTGCTGCTGATTTGACATATTATAAGATGAAAAGTGTTATTTTATTTTGTAATAATTTTAAACTTAAAAAATATTATTCAAATATTTAAAATATAAATAGTCATAAAATGAAACTTTTCTTTATTATTGTAACATTTAATAAGATGCGTAAGTATTTTGTGTGACTAAAAGTTTGGTGCTTAACAGTTGATGATTAAACTTTAAAAAAAAAAAAGGAAATTCATCTAATTTCCTGGATGTAAGTATCTTAACTAAAAATCATTGTGTTGTTCAACGCTTTAGATCACCTTCAGGATGCTCACCCATCTGTTAGGAGGGGGGGGGGGGTATACTGGTATCAGGCTGTCTGTTCGTCAGTCCATCCGTCCGTCTGTCTGTATATATATACAGCATTTGATATAGCGCACTATCTAGCTAACATAATCGCTCTAAAGCGCTTTACAGTACATAGATATAAAATTGATACAATTAGCATATACATTAATCAATATATTTTTTAAGGAATTCGCAAGAGCTGCCTTAACAGGCGCTAGCTACTAGTCATATGCCACCTGGCTAATATCTCCCTATGTGTGTAAGCCTGCGTGTGTGCTGGAGATGTAATGTGTTCTGTTTGTAGTCGGACCGTTTGTTGGCGTTGTGTGTGCAGGAGAAAATCACTTTCTCTGAATATCCATGTATACGATGACTTCGGGGATCGAACCCCGGCCGCCTGCGTCGAAGGCTGAATTGTTAACCACTCGATCAATCCGCCCATATGTAGATAACATAGTGTACCTCTTACTCCTACTAGGTTTAAGCATGGAATTTCATGTTCCTTCTTTACCAGAGTTATGGCCCTTGACTACTGTCGACGGTAATTGCTGATTATCTTGGAAATAGAAGAAATTGTTTATACACATTTACATGAGAGTATCNGGGAGGGGGAGGGGGGAGTGGGTATAAGTTAGCTAAAGGCGACAGTTCTAGTTTTGTATTGGAATTTGAAGTTTAGAGATATGATATAATGTACAAGCTTGCTGAAATTGACTATTCTCAATAAATAGTGCTATATTGTATAACTTTTTGAAATGTAATGTTAAAGTTAATTTAGATTTGACTATTTTGTATTGAAAATTTAAGTATGTATTTTAACTTGTTTCGTATTTGGTGGCTTAAAAAGTGTAATGTTAATGAAATGTTATGTAATGTATAAGTATTGATGAATTTGACTATTTTAGTATTTATTTTATTAACAACCTAACATTTAATAAACAGACAATGCAGTGTTTAATTATTATTTTATTTTATTAATTTCATACCCCAAAAATTTAAAACTTACTATATATATATATATTATATATAGTAAAAACCTGAAGAGCCCTGTGAAGGGTGAAAGCAGCTAGTATTTTAGTCGGTCGTTAATCTTATTTTTTCTATATTTACTTCCTTCACATGGACATTTAATCCCTTTTTATTATATATATATATCTAAAACCTATCTAATATGGCAAATACACAGAAAAACTACAAGTCACACAGGTAAGTCACCTGTGGGATCAGTATGAAACAGACAATAATTGGTTTGGTATTGTCTTCCTATTTAAAACTTTTCTTGGTCTCTAAAAAGTGGGGGAACTGAGAACACCCCCTCTGCCACTAGGTCGCGAGTTCGAGGGTACTCCGGCTTTCCTCAACCACCAAAACCTGACACGTCCTTGAATGACCAAAGCTGTTTATAGGACGTAAAACACAAACAACCCAAACCAAACCCAAATACGTAACTGAGCTGTTTTGCCATTTTGCTTCTTGATAAAGACATCTGCGATACTATTCGAACATTATTCGTGAAAACCAGTTTCATTGTATTTAAATACATTAATATCCGTTTCCTATTCAATCTCATAGGATTTATTTTTTTATTTATTTTTTATGTATAACAAACCTGGTCTCACCTATACCTATACCTATCCTACACTTTTGTTTGCGAGTACACTTTCCACTTCTTACAGATCACTTTGTTGACCTGCTGAACCGATTTACATTCTGATAATTCTGGCATTAAAACGAGATTTTACTGTAGTTGGTAGAATTAGCTGATGGATTTCTAAGTAATTGGTGTTGAATTTCCTTTTTACTTTTATGACAATGAAATACACCTATTCTTAACCCTTTCACCTCTGTAGACAGACCATAATGAACTTATTCAGATCAATGCATGGTAGAGTCTACAGCAGTTATATCGGGATAAAAGAATTAAAGTCAACACAGAAAATGATTATGTATATGCTTTTAACAACACTTGGTTGAGAGAATAGACGCTATGTATCTTTGTTAACGAAAATATTATTTTTCTTTAGAGGCCATTTGCAAAATCATAAAGAACTTGAAAAAAACCCATTAATCACGTTTTTTTATCATAAAATCAATCAATCCTTACATTTTTTTGTAAATCATTGTGTGTATGACATCAGAGGAAAATATCTGAAGAAAGTAACTTTCGTATTATTTTATAACTCATGGACATATGTTTGAAATGCTCAAATATTTAGAAAGCTCGTTCTTCTATTCTCTAATGTCGATTAACGTAAAGCTAGCACTATGGCTAATACAAGGAAGTAAGTGTAATCTTGCTTGAACAGCTTTCTGAGATCTTACAGTCGCACATTGTTTCCGAACTTGAACTTGAAGGGTTTACGGACTTCTTCCTTTAGCCGTAACATCCGCCCCCAGATGTCAGTCTCTTTATTTGTGTTGACCTTTGTCGAGGTCATCCAAATTGTCCTGTGACATATATCAATGTAGCTGTAGATTCTGTTGTATCGTGAAATAATAATAAATTCCTCACTTCATTGTCTTGATGATAGGCTCGGTCACAGGCTCGGTCACGGGCTCGGTCACAGGCTCGGTCGCGGGCTCGGTCACGGGCTCGGTCACGGGTTAGGTCACGGGCTCGGTCACGGGCTCGATCACAGGCTCGGTCACGGGCTCGGTCACGGGCTCGTTCCGGGCTCGGTCACAGGCTCGGTCACAGGCTCGGTCACGGGCTCGTTCCGGGCTCGGTCACAGACTCGGTCACGGGCTCGGTTACAGGCTCGGTCAAGGAGGCGTTGGTTTTGTTTTTGGCAAAGATGTACAGGGTGTTGCATTAATTCATAGGAGTGCTGATCTACCTAGATCTTAATTCTTGTCGGTGTGGGTCCAGCTAGGTTGTTTCCCATCGCTGAGAATGCACAGAGATGTTTTGCTAAGGATACTTCTTTCTTGTCTGTCAAAGTTCTCGTTCACAGATACTTAGAGAACACGCCTATGGCCGCATGTACATAGGGTTAGCCGTTGTTTTCGTTCATCGATTCCTGTCATCATAAAATAACATGGTGTGTAAAGTTTTGGCAATAAATTATATATTAAATGTATAATCTTATCGATTCCATTCGGCAAAACTAATTTCAATTTTATACAATGTAAGTGAAATGTTTAATTTTGTAATGTCAATTAAGGTAAAGCTAGCACTGTGGCTTATACAAGGAAGTAAGTGTAATCTTGCTTGAACAGCTTTCTGAGATCTTTCAGTCGCACATTGTTTCCGACCTTAAACTTGAAGGGTTTACGGACTTCTTCCTTTAGCCGTAACATCCGCCCCCAGATGTCAGTCTCTTTATTTGTGTTGACCTTTGTCGAGGTCATCCAAATTGTCCTGTGACACATATCAATGTAGCTGTAGATTCTGTTGTATCGTGAAATAATAACAAATTCCTCACTTCATTGTCTTGATGATAGGCTAGGTCACAGGATCGGTCACAGGCTCGGTCACGGGCTCGTTCCGGGCTCGGTCACAGACTCGGTCACGGGGTCGGTCACAGGGTCGGTCACGGGCTCGGTCACAGGCTCGGTCACGGGCTCGGTCACGGGGTCGGTCACAGGCTCGGTCACAGGCTCGGTCACGGGCTCGGTCACGGGCTCGTTCCGGGCTCGGTCACAGACTCGGTCACGGGCTCGGTTACAGGCTCGGTCAAGGAGGCGTTTGTTTTGTTTTTGGCAAAGATATACAGGGTGTTGTATTGATTCATAGGAGTGTTGATCTACCTAGATCTTAATTCTTGTCGGTGTTGGTCCAGCTAGGTTGTTTCCCATCGCTGAGAATGCACAGTTGTTTTGCAAAGGATACTCCTTTCTTCACGTTCACAGATACTTAGAGAACACGCTTCTGGCCACATGTTCATAGGGTTAGCCGTTGTTTTCGTTCATCGATTTATGTCGTCACAAAATAACATGGTGTGTAAAGTTTTGGCAATAAATTACATATTAAATGTATAATCTTATCGATTCCATTCAGCAAAATTAATTTCAATTTTATACAATGTAAGTGAAATGTTTAATTCATTAGTTGTGTGACATGAACAACGCAACATATTTTAAAAGGGTTTTCCCGCTGTCCTTCAGAAGTATATACATAGAGCAGACAGTCCAAGTTTTTGAAATAAATGCCAAATTTGTTTTGAACAAAAATATGCAAACGTATTTTGCGAGCTTTCGAAAACGTCTGTTTCCGTTGTGAAGCAAAGAGTCCAAATTCCGAAAACGTCTGTTGCCTTTGTCAAGCAAATAACTCGCACTCATTGATTGACAAAGGAGAAACGAGAAACAATGACCGGCAGAGATGGTCATTACGGGGAAAAATTTAAAAACCACTATGAGGGTTGAATGTTATTTAATTAATCTCAATTGAAAGCTGTTAAACTTGCATTGGCACCTTCTGACCTTTTCTGGACTGATAAGAAGGAGAGCTAAGAAAAGAAAATGTATTAATGGGAAAGCTGGTTGGTGGTTCTTATCTGTCGAGATATGTGACAAATTCTGTATGCACTTTGTTTTAATATATTTCACCAGCAAACAGGAAATGTTAACAAAACATACACTTATTAGACTTCCATATGATACTGCCATATACAGCCATGTGTTAAATATCCATATTTTTGATTTTTTTCAGAAAGATATAGACTAACAGTACCAGGAGCTGACCGAATGAGTAAGGGGAGCAAAGAGCAAGACAGGAAAAAAAATCACTTAACCTCTTCCTACAAGCTATAGCGTACTTCACACGATAACGTCATTGGAGTTATCAACTCCGAAGCATTTCTTTCTAACCGTACACCTACCAAAGAGTTTCCGTATCCAGGTCGAAAGGTTGTTGATTTATAACCGTGGGAGCTACATAAGGATCTCAGTCCATCTGCGAGGTTCGATCACATAAATTGGCAACATATCTTCCCCAGAACGGAGACATTTAAAAGAAACACCTCACACTGTTTCCAACCGTAGACTGAGCCTACCAGATAAAGACAGGAGTAATCTGAAATTATTAATATATCTTTCCCAGAACGGAGACATTTAAAAGAAACAGCTCACACTGTTTCCAACCGTAGACTGAGCCTACCAGATAAAGACAGGAGTAATCTGAAATATTCAGCTTTGTTTATTGACATTTATCATAGATAATTAGAGATATCACTGAAGACATCAACTCAAAGTGTGCTGTCATTTTCATTTTCCCAATCCAGATGAAATGGTTGAATTACAACCGGAGTATGTTGTTCCCCGCCCCAAATCTAGTTTGATTAGAGGAGACGACCTCTAAAAAACTAAAACAGAGGCCTGTACCAGCTCCGAGGCCAAAACCACTTTTGAGATCAACCGAAACTAAAGGGAAACTTCCACTAAAAACCGATGATGCTGTTAAGATAATTAGAAATGACTCCGTGACAAACATATGTCATATATCGTCTGTAAACTCTGGCTCTAATGAAGCTTACATGCAAGAGGAAGATTGATCATATCAAACAGAATATCAGGTAACATGTTCTGTAGAACAAGGGGAGGTAACTAATAAAGGTGAAACATATTGAAGGCTACATACACAAATATCCGAACACAAAAACCGAACAGAATGTAGACCTAATGCGTCGATCGAAAAATTGAAATTGTCAGAAGTGGATATTGATGTAGACTGTTCAAATACTGCTCCCTGTAGGACAAGCCGCGTATTTACAACAAAACGTGAAGTTGTCCAGGGCTCAGAATTGAATCAAGAAAACATTTCTGTAAACAGATGGCCACATAATACTTTGCCAAGTGTATCGATAAAAGAAAAGATGTCCGTCTCAACACCCGATTTCTCTGACACATCCCAGCGCATCACAGCTTCGAGCGTGCCTTACAAAGAAATTTCTGCATATACATTGACACCACCGATCAAAACTGTAGAAAATGGAGAATCAACAGTATCGAAAAAGAGAATCACGCCGTACGTAAATTGGACCAAACATCTACCGATGCTCCAAAGGGTCGTAAAAACAGAAAATAAAAAGACAGTAGAAGTATGTGGAAATGCGCCGGACACTTCCGGTGACTCTGTACATGCTTCTAAAATTACGGCAGACGTTAGTGTGCAGGAGGTCCAGTTTATATCTGAATCTGCAGCAGATGGCGGGATAATTGAAGCTGCAGAAAACCTTCAAACATTTTCATCGAAATCCGGAAATTCTGATGAAATGATCAAATCTGGAGAGATTACTGATACAACGAATCCAAATCCAGACCTTGAAACTTTTACAGAAGATATGATCAAACATTACGTCACAAATGGAACTATGACTACATATGATAAAATATCATCATTGTGCTACAGCCATTTGAAACGGCCAAAACAGGAATGCAAGTCCAGCAAAGGCATTAAAAGTACATTTGACCAGAAGAAAACCAATCCATGTGAAAACTTGGTCAAAACTTCAAGTTTATCCGACCACGTGACACAAACTATTGATAATAATAAGGTAATCATGACCTGTGAAAACATTTCAGGAAACCCTGGCATCGTGACTACAACAGCCCAAGAAAGTATTATACCTGAATTTACTTCAGAACCAGATTCCAAAAGCACGCATACATTTATTGCAGATAAAGTGACTAGTAGCTTGCAAGAATATTCTATTCCAAAAACGGAGCACAATTTGGGTACCAAGTCCAACACAGAATACTCTGTTCGTGAAAAACATATAACAGTACCAATACCAGCAAAGAAACAGGTAGTTCCCAAGGATGCTCAAGAACTATTGACAAACAGTTTAGGTAAAGAAGCATGTAATACCCTACCAGACACCACTGATGCCTTTGATGCTGATAATGAGTCATCGTCTTTACAAGGTCCATCATCTAATATTTCTTACACTTTAAAAAATGCATGGCAGAAAGTCCAACCGGTACCTTTACCTAGGAAAAAGGCAAAATCTATGTCAAATAACACAAGTAGCAAAATAGGAGAATATCTGACAAAGACTTATTCGGAACAAGAAGTCAGCATCCAAAGAAATAATGAAACAAGGGAACGGAAAGAAATGTCGTTGGGACATCAATGTGAAGTTCAAATACCCAGTCTTGAACCTGGTATTGAAAGTTCAGCTGCGACAAGTGAAAAACCGTATACCTCAATTAATGTTGAAGTGTCATCTTCTCAAATCGCGACGCAATTCAACCAGTCTGCTTTTGATAATCCTCTATACATGTATCTATCAAATATGGTCCAGACAAAAGAACCAAACTGCAAGCACAGTGAAATCTATTCTACTTTAGTTGAGGCATCATTGCTGGAAATTCCTCTCAAACGACGTACCCTTAATTCAATGGCAACTTCCAAACAACAAGGAATGCTGACTGCCTCTGGAAATCTTGAATTCAAGTCGGAGAGTTATGGTAACTCATTATTGCTTGCTTATGAGGAAATTCGGCCAAAGCTTCCTAAAAAACTGAGACAATCAAACTGTGGATGCGGTAATACCAATCTTGCATTAATTGAAACAGAAACTCTGCCAAAACGTCCTCTAAAACAAAGGACACGTCATTCGAGAGCCATTACAAATGAAGGGATGTGGTCTTCAAATCCCGTCCTATCGACAGTCGCTGAAGAAACTCTGCCACCAAAACTGCCAGTAAAACTTCAACGTGTTACTCTTTCCCATGGTTTACCGGATACTCACGGTATCCATTATGCACAAAATACAGCTATACAAGGCCATGTGAAAATTCCTGACGATGAACAACAAGTGGTGCGGTCCTCTGATGAAAACAAGACATCGGGATACGATGAAACTATCCATCACAATACTATCCCCGCCACCACGATGGAGCTAAAGCCAACCCCAAAACCCCGTATGAGGAGGTCAAAGATACCAACTAAAACAGTTAACGAGACTGGACCTCCGCTTCCTCCTAAACTTAACAGTGTGTGTATGTTGTCACCAGGTGATCATTTATATAGAACGTCTCAAAAAGAAGTACAGTTACCACTACATGTATTGAAAAAGAAAACAGAAGAAATTAGCCCATGTAGTCGAGGCCAGACAGATGACACCTCTAAATATTCAAACTATTTCTTTACAAAGCAGATGGAGATCATTCAAGACAGACAAGCTGCATCATCAACAAAGAAAAATGTTGGAAGCACGTCTTCATGTGAAATTCACGGTAACCAGTCAAACACCAAAGATGACTATGTGTATGATTATGCATTTTACAATAGGATGTCCGGGTATCCCGAGGTAGCTGAACTGTGCATACCAGAAATATCACTTGGCCAGGGGGAAAATGAAGACTTGCATCAAAATTCACCAATTTACGAACAGATAGATAATCCTTTGGAAACACGACATGATCAGCAAAATGAGTCGTCAAAGGAAACTGATACTATACATCAATCACTTACCTCTGTTAAGGACGATGACTATGCGTATGATTACGCAGATTGCAACAGACTTTCCAAATTAGCTAAAGCCTGCGAAAATTGGAGCTATCGAAAACGCTCGCACAAACCCAAAAAGGGGCAAAGATGTAAACACAATAACAAACCACAAAACTCGAACGAATCACATAATTCTTGCTCAAGCGGTTCAGGACATCATGTGACGTGTTCATGTGGCAACAGTTCGAAGGGATCGAATCAAGCTTGTTCAGGATATTCCGATCACTGTTCATGTGGTAATAGCTCGTGTGGATCGCATATGTTTTGCTCGTGCTGTACAGGACATTGTGCTCCATGTTCATGCGGAAATAGCTCGTGTGGATCGCATAATTTTTGTTCAGGCAGTACAGGACAATATGTCGTTTGTTCATGTGGAAATAGCTCGTGTGGATCACACAGTTCTTGCTCAAGCCGTTTAGGACATCATGTGGCGTGCTCTTGCGGGAACAGTTCGTTTGGATCACACAGTTCTTGCTCAAGCCGTTTAGAACATCATTTGGCGTGCTCTTGCGGGAACAGTTCAGGTGGATCACGCAATTCTTGCTCAAACCGTTTAGAACATCATGTGGAATGCTCTTGTGGTAACAGTTCAGGTGGATCAGAAAGTTCTTGCTCAAGCCGTTTAGAACATCATGTGGAGTGCTCTTGCGGAAACAGTTCAGGTGGATCACACAGTTCTTGCTCAAGCCGTTTAGGACATCACGTGGCGTGCTCTTGTGGGAACAGTTCGTGTGGATCACACAGTTCTTGCTCTAGCTGTTTAGGACATCATGTGGCGTGCTCTTGTGGGAACAGTTCGGATGGATCAAATCAATCTTGTTTTGGACATCATGTAACTTGCTCGTGTGGAAACCATATGCGCAAGTGGCGCCATGCATCTTCATACCGAGAAAGAATCTATGCAGTTTGTTCATTTCAAAATGCGTCTATTGATCCAAATCAAACGTGTTCCAACGAAACTTTTTTTTATAAAGACCAGACAGAATTGGATAAGATTTTCTCCCTGGTGTATTTCCCTGGGAATGCCAGAAAGCCGTCTTTGTTATAGAGTTAAACAATGGAGCATGGATCTGCTCGTTTTATAGAACTTGTCGTGACGTGAATATTAATATGAAACATGTTTTACCTTTTTCAACCTCCCAATTGAAGGCATTTTTTTATCATGACAGAGAATATGAATCTGAAACATGTTTTACCTTTTTCACCCTCCCTAATGACGGCAGTTTATCATGACAGCGAATATCAATATGAAACATTTTTAACCTTCTTCGCCCTTCCTAATGAAGGCATTTTTATCATGACAGCGAATATTAATATGAAACATGTTTTACCTTCTTCGCCCTCCCTAATGACAGCATTTTTATCATGACAGCGAATATCAATATGAAACATATTTTACCTTCTTCGCCCTCCCCTAGTGAAGGCATTTTTATCATGACAGCGAATATTAATATGAAACATGTTTTTCCTTTTTCGCCCTCCCTAATGAAGGCATTTTTATCATGACGTCGAATATTAATATGAAACATGTTTTACCTTTTTCACCCTCCCTAATGACGGCAGTTTATCATGACAGCGAATATCAATCTGAAACATTTTTAACCTTCTTCGCCCTTCCTAATGAAGGCATTTTTATCATGACGTCGAATATTAATATGAAACATGTTTTACCTTTTTCGCCCTCCCTAATGAAGGCATTTTTATCATGACAGCTAATATCAATATGAAACATTTTTATCCTTCTTCGCCCTTCCTAATGAAGGCATTTTTATCATGACAGCGAATATTAATATGAAACATGTTTTACCTTTTTCGCCCTCCCTAATGAAGGCTTTTTTATCATGACAGCTAATATCAATATGAAACATTTTTATCCTTCTTCGCCCTTCCTAATGAAGGCATTTTTATCATGACAGCGAATATTAATATGAGACATGTTTTACCTTCTTCGCCCTCCCCTAGTGAAGGCATTTTTATCATGACAGCGAATATTAATATGAAACATGTTTTACCTTCTTCGCCCTCCCCTAGTGAAGGCATTTTTATCATAACAGCGAATATTAATATGAAACATGTTTTACCTTCTTCGCCCTCCCTAATGAAGGCATTTTTATCATGACGGCGAATATTAATATGAAACATGTTTTACCTTTTTCACCCTCCCTAATGAAGGCATGTTACATTGTATGTATGTTTTACTTATATTCGCTGGCATGATAAATTTGCCTTCATTAGGGAGGGTGAAATTTAAACTACTGCAACATTTTCCCAGCTGTAAGTACTTCCATTTATCCTTGTACACATCATCCCAGACTATTATTTGATATAGGATTATGCAGATAACATGGAATTATGTAATCTGTCTTCCAGACTAACTAATTACATATCTCAGTGTCAAAGGTGAAGGGGATATGTTGTAAAAATCTCGACCGATAACCTGCACTAACCTGCAAGTTTTCATTGAAAGCAGTGTTTATCAAGTTCCACACTATTTTACCTAAGTAGTTATATTAAATTAAGAAGTATCACACGACTCTTAGACAAATTTGTTGATCATCTTATTCTCCCACCCTTCACGTGCCAATTAGCACATGTTCAATCGTAACGTCGCACAAACACTAGGAACATTCATGCTGTAAATTCATATACTTTTTTTTTGATGTCTTGAACTTTCATTTAAATTTGATATACTGGGCTCGGCTTAAAAATTTAAAATCATAAGGCACTAAGCCTAGTGTCAGAAAAACTCCACTCTGCATCAACGAAATTTCACTGTACATTAGATTATGAGTAAATCATATTTTAGAATATTAATCGTTTTGTTTTTCATGGTGATCATGTCATGTTTTTATGAAAATTTACGTGTTGAATTACATCATACGGGATGCTCTCTTATTTATGTGCTCAGTTGACCTGTAAAACCCCTTCCGACCGTCTTTGTTGTTTTTACTTTATCATTCAGGAACTGTTCATTGTACGGATGTCAATTCAGATGGCGTGACGAAAGTGATCCATTTAGTACTCATCTAGATATTATATTCTTCACTTGGCACGGGAACAAGTGTGGTTGTAAATTCCACTTGTCCTTTTCAATTTTCCTCTTGTCAGATGGAGTTGATGGATAGTTAGCCTGTGGCCTGTAATATTACATAATAAATTTCCTTCAATAGAGATGAACTGCGGAAGGTGATAACCTCAATGTGTCTAGAAACTTTGTACATTTCTATTGAGTCTTATACAGGCTAGCTACACATGAATTGTGACGAACCCATGAAGAGAAGTACACAAATACCTTGAAATTCACATATAAAGGAAAAAATTCTTTGTAAAGATGTGCATCTTCGATCAATCTTTATTAATCCTCTTTTTCAGAACAATTTCTGGTCACATTCAATAATATTTTTTGTGACAGTTTCATATTTTGGAAGCATTTATATTTACTGTAAAAGCATATATTTTCGTTGGAATTATATTTCGTGGAATCAATATTTTAAAACCCTGTATTTTTTCTGGTATTTAAGAAGTTTAAATCGACAGGCGTGACGACATAGTGCATGGATGAACTGGTGCGTGACAAAAAGGGCATTGTTGGCTGCTTCTGACTGATCGAGATTACCAGGGCATGTCAATATTGACATGGGCTAACATTACCGGTTTAACAATAACTGCGTTACAAATATAACGCTTGATTGACACGCTGTTGTTATATTAAAAGTGTTTACCTCTGTGCCTGTGACGATAATTAAACCGTAATACACCATGGATTTGTAATAAAATTCAGTTTATTTAAGATTTTTGTTTAGTTCATATTGTATGTTTAATATTTCATTGGGATTACATTTTCGTGGTTTTTATAAGACCACAAAAAAGAAGAAGAAACTAAACCCCAATAAAATATCATGCTCTTACAGTGGTACTTTTTAATCTTGCTAATGATGTTTGAAAACTTGTATTAAATTATCTTCCATTGTAAAAACTGGTGTTCTGTATTTTATGACTAGGCCAAAAAAAATTGATTACTTGGTTCTCAGGCCCGCCCGCATTGCCAATTTTATCGTGAAAGTAAAAAAAAAAAAACGCGAATGCACAAGCCGCGATGTAAAATGAAAAAAATAAATCCCTGCCACATCTCTTTTGAAAAAATTGGCCTGAGAACCAAGCAATTAACTTTATTTGGCCCTACATAGGATGTTTTAAAGATTATGAAAATATTACACTTAATTATGATATTTTATGCCTTCTGTCATTTTAAAATCACTTTACCGTTATACAGAACTGCTTCAATCGTTACACCTAGTACATGTACAAATTCATCATTCAAGCTATATGATTACTTTAATATATAAATATATATATATTATATACATCAACTGAAATGGTGTAAAAAAAACTGACATCACAATGAACCTGATATAAACAGCCTCCTGTTCATCAAGAATACAAGATAGTTAAATTCCAGCAATTTTCGAGTGAATAATTTAATTCCAGAGCTGTTGATAAATGATTTTTGATAAATTTCTCCAGGTTGAGTACCGAGACATATGAGAGGTAGTCACACACACAAGCAATATCACATTGTTCAGTCTATCCATGGGTGGTGGGGTCTCAGCTAGTCTGATCTGCCACTCCAGGCTCTACCTGAGCCAGTTGTACGACCTCGCCATCCTCTGTTGTCACTGTGGCCATTCGTACACTGTCTGACTGTGGTAGCGACACCGCCACCTGGAGGCCATCTTCGGTCTGGGTCATCTGTAACAGGTATTTTGTAGATTTATTCACTCATTTGCTTTTTGATATGGGCACTTGTTTTATTTAGCCAGAACTCAATGCGGATATCAATACAAAAAGAACCCCCAGTAACATATTATATGATATTCAATAAGCAATCATGGAATTACAACCTTACATTTTATCCCACATGATGATTTTTTTTAACCAAATGATTAAATGTGCAATAAATACATGTCCTATCTGTCAATCTGACATTTTCTATCTTCACAAATAAAGCTTATAGCACTGAAATTATGCTCAAGTAAGAAAATAAACTTTCAAATGACTCGAGATTAATTCTAGTGAAACTTTTATTGTTATTATACAACGTTTGACATCTATATCACCTTATCTAGCTAGAATAAGCCACTCTTATGTGCTTTAAAATACATCAATGTAGTTCATACAATAAAGACATTTTGAGATTTTTGCATACTTTGTAAGGTGCTATCCACTGGTCATAAACCACCTAGCAAATACCTCCACGTGTGTGTGCGAGGGCCTGAGTGGGTTTTAAGAGTATGTTAGGTTTTGCAGTATCTTCATGCATTCAACAGCATCTTTTTTCAAAATTGTAATCGCACTTGAATGTTTCAGCAAAGACACTGTTGCCCCGGCCCAGACCATTTAATACTCCACCTGGGTAATTGCAGTCATGTTTGCAGGGCTAAAACATTTTCTCTAAAGTTCATGCTACAACGACTTCTGGGATTCAACTCCAACTGCCTGTATGGAAGACTGAGTGTCAACCAATTAGTCAACTCCTCCCGTAATCATGGGAGGTACTACACTTACAGGCATAGGGACTTGGATGACTTGATCTCCCTGGAGTATCTGTATATGGTGAGCCTGCTGCAGTTGAGATATCTGTTCAGGTGTGGCGTGTAGTATTTGAATCTCTCCCGGTGGTAAGCCCTCAGTCTGCATTGCAGCCATTGTCTGTTTTAAATCTAACTGTCCCTGTATTTTAATAAAAAGTTATGGTACAGTAAAAAAATCTGCATTTTTTAATTTATATCAATGACTTCTGTTTCAATTGACAGGATCTGAATTTTGTGAGAGAAAAAACAAGAGGCCCATGGGTCTTAACGGTCACCTGATATATTTATATAGAGTTGATTTTGTTTTTAACACGAACAGAAATATTATTCAAAGTGACAAAAAACAATAAAACCACCTTATTCAATATCAAGCATACAGATTAAAGACTAAAAAGTATTTGAAACTAGCACCTCTGATTTTAAACAAGGAAAATGAAGAAATGTTAGCACACTGACTCCTTTGGGCCCTACCCTACAGCCCTTGGGGGTAGGGATGGCTCAAAATTTTCATAGTATCAAACTGTCAACTCAGGGTTATAATTCCAATCAAGTTATTATACATGTAATATTCAAAGTATCATTTGCCATTATAAACCATAATAATTCCCCCCCCCCCCCCTTCCCCAGGGGGAAAACGGGAGAACATAGGGGCATAAACCTTAAGACCCTTCCATCTATGAAGAGTATTTGATTCTACCATATCTTGGTCTTGACAAGAAGATTTTTGAAATTTCAGTCAATTCGACCCTTTTTGACCACACCCATCAGCCATGGGGGTTTAGTCAGGGCTCATATGTGCATACCATCAAACTGCTACCCAATACTGATAATGCTAACCTAAATTGAATTACCTTCAATGGCAATTAGACAAATGTTAGTCCAAAATGTGGTTTCCCTATATAAACTATAGTAAAGTTTACCCCCCTCCCTAGGGGGAAACATGAGACCCCAGGGTCAAGAAATTCACAATTTTGGTAAAGCACCTTAAGACCCTTCCATCTATGAAGAGTATTTGATTCTACCATATCTGGGTCTTGAAAAGGAGATTTTTGAAATTTTAGTCAATTTGACTCTTTTTGCCCCCGCCCCTCAGGCCCCTGGGGGCTTGGGACCAAACCGGCCACTATTTTTGTTGATCTTTGGCCATGGAAGGTTTTTGCAAAATTTCATTGAAATTGGTTCAGGGATTTGGAGAAGAAGTCGAAAATGTAAATTGTTTATGGACGCACGACTGACGACGGCGGACAAAAGGCGATCGCAATAGGTCACTTGAGACTTTGTCTCAGGTGACCTAAAAATCAAAAATAGGAAATTGACATCTTCCAAAAAAAAGGTTTAAGAAAAGTTTTCACCACTTTCTCCTTTGTTCTTAAATACAACTATTAAATAACAGTTATAGGACTTAATCAGTTTCTCAAACATAAATGAACAGAAAATGCATCATTTTGGATTAAACAATGCACATCAGGGAAAAAGATGAAAAGTTGTACACTCTTACATACAAGTCATTTGATACCTATGTACACATATATGACCATTGCTGTTGTAAAGACCTAAACCCCAAATCAAGCACAGTACCTGGTGTATATGTAGCTCAGCATCCTGAAGCGAATCATCATCACTACCTAGTTCGTCTTGTCCCACCTGTATATATGTCGGGGTAGACTTCCCTCTGAATGCCTTCACCGTAAGGGGCATTCCTTTCTGTTTCCTGCGAAATGCTGTTCTACATTTGGAGTCTACATTTTGTTTGATTCGATGCCAGTCTGGTTCATTGACGCCAAATCTATGTATAAGATGGCCTGTAAGAATTGATATCATTGTCATATTAATGTGAACATTAATGGGAACAAAATTATCGCTTAAGCTCACAAGTACCAGATTTTTTTATTATATAAACTGCTATTGGATTGAATTTAAAAATCTTGTCTCTTTACTACATATCATAACTGTCCCTTGCATTGAATCCTAGCGAACTTAATTTTTCAATATATGTAAAATTCTGTATTGCTTAATGATATTTGAAGCAAATACTTATACATGTAAACGTACTGTACATCTTTCTTTAATAATAAACTACATGATGACCTGGTATTATTTTGAAAGAAAAACATTGGCTATAATTCTGATCTTTGACACATCTTAAAAAAACATAATTACCATGTAATGAAATGTTTTCTTTTCATACCATACATAAAATCTTCATAAAAAATCATTTTGATTGGTGCAGCAAATAACGAAAAAGACCACTGATGATGAAAACATGTAATTTTACTTTATTTTTAAGTTTAAGTTTTGTAGTACCTACATCGGATACCATAGATCATCAGAGGATCGAGTTGTCGCTTGCCGTGTTTGCCCATGCCGGATAAGTTAGAGGAAGCTTGCGTCTCACGATCAAATAAGTAGTCGAGCATTGTTAACGCCATCTTTTCGGCCGTCCGACAGTTTGAATGTATATGAAGAAGGTCACTAAAATGAAATAAAAAATTATTTTGTCAAAACATTGCTAGTTATCGAATTGGCATTTTGTGGAACAAACGATTTTGTGAAATTTCGTGTACAATCTCTTGAAATTTGGAGAAGCAGACTTTTACAGCCAATCAGGGGCAAAAATGGGATTTAACTTAACCTGTAAGCCACGTACAGGCTAGCTTATACCCCTGCTCCAACATACAATAACAAAAAAACCACATAACCAATAGTTGAAAAGAACAAGAGGCCCATGGGCCTTAACAGTCACCTGAGTCCTACAGTATTTATTTTTGTTGTTGAAATATGTACCAATTTGAGTAAAAAATAGTGAAGTATAACGTTAACTTAAGCTTGTCAGGACCACGAGCTGATCTTTGTAGGAATGATCGACTCTGACATGGTCCTGACAAAGTGTTGTTATTTTTCGGGTCGATCAGAAATCCAATAGGGCCGACACTAGATCTAGACCGGGTTTCAGTTAAATCCGCCTATTAGAACTTGTTATTAAGTTTGAAATAGTTATTTTCAAAATAGCGGCCGTGGCAGCCATATTGGATTTCTGTTTGACCCGAAAAATAACAACACTTTGTCAGGACCATGAGTCGATCATTCCTACCAAGTTTCAGTTCAATCGGCCCAGCAGAACTTGACTTTAAGTTTGAAATAGTTTTTCGAAATGGCGGCCGGGGCGGCCATATTGGATTTCTGATCGACCCGAAAAATAACCACACTTGGTCAGGGAGATGTCAGTAACCTTCCCATGAAATATTAATGAAATCCCTTTGCCAGTATTTCAGCTTAAGTTGAAAATGTAAAATGTTAACGGACAACAGAGGAAGACGGATAGCAATAGGTGACCGAAAAATCAGTCACATCACTGTCTTTTCTAATGTATGCATGCCTACCAAGTGTCGCAAGTATTGGTCAAGGAGATAAAAATCAGTAGACAAAATTTATGAAACATAGAAAAAGAGGCATAACTCTAGTTTTAGAGTAGATGTCGCAAATATACTTAAGTACACACTATGAAAGGTACTAGAAGTATAATAATGTACTCCAACAGGCAATTTAAATGTTAAATCTGTCTTGGAAAGTGGTAACCTACATATCTTTCGGTTTTCTTTCATAAATGAATGATCAATGTAAAAGCCTTGTCAGAAAATAAAATCCTATCCATAGTTTCATTTTTTGTCAACGGTATGGGGGTCCTTACATTTGTTTGGATAAATAAAGAGTTTTTGATTTAAAGACCTTTTCTACTCACAAATTAACAGGAAATATAAAATATACCATGCTACGACCAAGAAGACATAGAAGTTTCTTTCTCAATATTAACATTACTGTAAACGGAGGAATAGCAGAATTTGTGTAACTTACAGTCTTGTACAAAACTCACCTTGGTGTAATTGGTACCCGCACTCTCATTTCGGGATTGCTTTCATCTCCTAACCAAGTGCCACTGGGATAATCCTCTACAAATAACACACCAATAATTTCCTGTTAACGAAGTTATTCTACCTCTATTATCTTTTGAAAAATACATACACGAATGTACAAGCTCAATAATGTGAAATATAAATTCATATGAAGTTGTGCGAAATTGATAGATTATGGCAATAGACGGTAAAATGTGTTGGAATTTTATACTGCCTGATTGATACACAGGTAAATAAAAGATTCTCTTTATGCGATCATTTGTGATTTCATTTTAAGCCACGAGGAACACAAAATTTCAAAATTAAAGGTTCTCTTTAGGCGATTATTTGTGACTTCGTTTTAAGCCATGAAAAGCACTTCTGGAAAAGCTGTTGCCTACACATAAGCCCATTGAGAAACACAAATTGTTAAACATCTGAAACTTTGGACGTTTGTCCAAAAATGTGCCTCCTGAATAACAAGAAATGACATTGTAATGAAAAATAATAATATGAGAAATAGAACTAATTCTACAACATTACCTTCGGAGTTGAGGGTAATGAGTGTTACATTAGGTCCGAGTCCCATATTCTGTATACCGTCACCATTGTTCACACCCTGCCCTGGAAATATACATAGGAGGAACACAAAATTTCAAACATCTTTATAATTATCATGAACATGTTCAGCACAGTTGGTAAGTAAACTGTTAAATCTATCTTGCAATGTGAAAGAGTATTCTCCCCTGTCACTCGAGGTTGATGACCATGATGTTGGTCAACATATTTACTTATTTCTTTTACACAGATTCACTATAACAAATATTGCCTGGTACACTTTGAGCCGTATTGCAGCTGATGACCTAGTCAACCACTCAATAAGCAGTACAGTGATGTTTTTGATAGGTATGCATTACTGTGTCAGAAGAATGTACAGCTCGCTGAGGTCCATTTACAATTTTTGAGTACTTGACATGTTCATGAAATGTTTCTTAAATTGTATGCATTCAATAGGCTGATTAAACATGAAGTGAGATGTCCAAATTCAACTGTTTGTTAGAAAATTCATTCAATCATTTGACAGTTTATTCTGTATAACGTTAACTGTTAAATGAAAATATTTAAACAATGTCAAAATTCAACTGTTTGTTAGAAAATTCATTCAATCATTTGACAGTTTATGCTGTATAACGTTAACTGTTAAATAAAAAGATTTACACATTATCAAAATAGTCAACCTGAAAATAATGGATACCTGTGTTGTCTACTTTACTGCCTCCCTGGGGTAATCCCACAATCACAGCACTGTAACAAATGTTTAAATAAATAGAAGTGTACATGTATATAATTGTTTGTCTGATCAANGGGGGGGGGAGGAGATACAACAGATATATAATACCGGGTAGCCATTTTGGAAATCTTGATAATCATCATACCAACTCTTAATACATGAAATTATAGTCTAACTTTCATTCAAGCCTATCTTTATGAATCCTCGATATCCAGGGGTTACGCTCACTTTTGCTCTATACACCCCTGGAATATGTCATAGCAAAATTGAAGGCACGAAGATAGCTGTTTGGTTGGTCTCCGATAAAAAAACACCTGACCAATCGCTAGGCCGATACCTGTCCTTTGAAGATTACAAAGGAGAGACACCCGACTTCAAAGCCTGTCAATGTTTATAGTAATGTGACCGCGAGATTCTTTTGATGTATATCAAAGGATCGAACTTGTCTTCTTGTCTCATCAACAAGGTGGCACATACGGAGCCTTCAATTTTGCTTGGACATATTCCAGGGGTGCAGAGAGCGAAAGTGAGCGTAACCCCTGGATATCGAGGATGATCTTTAATTCTTTATGACAACATGATCATTATGTCCTTGCTACAAATACTGCATTTTGAGAACTCAGTCAGCTGGGGGGAATTCATCTAAAAAATCTGACACTTTTTCAATTGGGAAATGAATGGGTCCTTTAATATGAACCTAAAAAGTACCCTGATAATTGCTAGTTGTAATGAAACAAAATTTTGAGGATCTTGAAAGTACGACATAAAAAAATTCATATCCTAGTTATTTTATCATGCCTAACCAACCTCTGAATTTGAAACATGTAACAAGTATTCAAGTTGTGTCAACTCATCATTTTCATGAACACATTCAGCATGACAGCTGCTTCGAGTCTAGCTGCAAGACTATCTTTTCTTATAGACCTAATTTCTTAAGAGATATATAAACACGAGAATTGGATGCTGGAGAGACTTACCCTTTTCTATTGTTGTTGGGAGATACAAGGGTACTGTTTGGCATGATGCCATTACTTTGTTTAGTTGTCTGTACCAGCTCCTCTACCTTTTCTTCAAGGTATTTCGTCCGGCCGTTCAAGATTTCTATGCTGTTTTCAATACCATCTAGTCGCATGCATATTGCCTTATTTATTGTGAAGAGTAATTGCTGGAATATAAAAATACTTTGTCAGAGCCCAGTATTTTAAAGCCTGCTTACAGGAGAGATACTCGCAATTAAGCCCCCTCCCTACTTTTGGTCAATCTTTTTCACAAGGGGTTGGGGCTTATTTGTGGACAAATATCATAGTTTAACAACTTATAAAAAGATTTCAAATGTGATTTGTAATATCTGAAAAATTAGAAGTATTTCTACATTTCTTTTCTTTTTCAAGTTATTATTTTGAACCCATACAAGTTCTGTTTTGAATTTCAATATTTAGTTACATATTCTGATAGACATTTTCTGTTGAAAGCCTTTAAAATAATATTATAAATTGGAATAAAGATTTCCCTGAACCTACAGGGATGGCCTGGCTTGGGTAGATACCTTGATGGATTGATCATGGTTGATATTGCTGTTAATGTTAACATTACTACTGGCTAGAGCGATCCCTTCTGTCTTTAGTCTTTTGGACGGAGGTTCATCATCCCTGGGGTCGTGCTCATCACTGTCTTGTATATCAACTTCAAAAATAACACAAAACAAGATGAGGCAATTGTAAATTACTTGGAAAATATTGAGCCAATCATTTCACACAGGAGAAAAAATAACATTCATATGTGTGTACCACAAACTGCATCCCTCAAATTCCTAATAAGATTTTCATTTTGTTTGATGTATTCAACCTCTTAAGAGATTTATAAAATTGAACTTTCGCTTTAATTGGCAAATATGTTCAAATGCAATCTTCAATATATATATATATTTATTACATACTTACTAATAAATACGGGTTTTTTGTATATGCGATACGACACAATTGCTCTTGCCCATATCAGCCCCCGTCGTATCACACCCCAAAACCTGTATCAGCCCGCAAAACCCGTATCACACCCCTTTTGGATTTTTTTTTCGTTTTTCAATATTTCAAAAGAAAATTTTATCATAAGATAGTAGCTTTTATTAGTAAGTATGTAATAAACAGAATAAAACTTAACTTTTTCCATATCACACCCAGTATCAACCCTCGACTAATATCAGCCCTTGGGCTGATATTGCAGTGTCGGGTTGATACTGGGTGTGATATGGAAAAAGGCATGTATTATTCTCTTTATAGTTTAGCACAATAAGGCCATTTGGTGAGAATTTATCACAATTTCACCAAAGATATTAATACAATAAAACAGTTTCACCAGTTACACATATGAATATGTTGTATAAATTTATTAAAAAATTGTTGATAACAGGTAGGAACCAGAACATCCAATAATATTCATCTGGCACCAGTAGACTGATTTGTCCAATCACGGAACTGGTGAAGAGTGAAACTACAGACACTTACTACCTGTATGTGTCGTAAGTCCCGGAATGCCATGCAGTGATGAAGCGTCCACGGTGACGCTGATGATTCCTTGGTCTCCAATGTTCTGTACAGCGTCTGATAGCGTAATAGTGTCAACAACCATCCCTGTTTGCGACGTAATTGTCAGGTCATCAGACCCAGGGTCATCCGTGGCCATTTTCTACACCTGTAAAGCTATAAGTATATTCCATATTATTGCAACACTTAAACCATATAGACAAGCAGCAGGACAAGAAAGTCCAGATAGCCTGGAGCTTATAGGTTTTTTGGGCAAGAGAAAAGTTATGCTTACTTGCCTGACAGAGCATTGTTAAATTTTCTAATGAATTGTACAAATATTTCCAGCATACTGTTTTAATTTATTCCTGATCAAATAAACTATCAACAGGCAAAAAAAAAGATTATTTCTGTTAAAATACCATACTATTATAATAATTATATTTATAATTTGAAATAAATTTTAGAGAAACAATTTCTAATACATTTGTATTTCTGTTCTCAGCAAGGAACCTTGTGAATGCAATATAGACCTATGTCAATATAACTTATTATCATAGTTTTATTGATTGGGTAAGAATCACTGTCCCACTGCACCAGGCTTTTTGTATACATACAGCAATCTCCCGTTAACTTCTGTTTTAATATTACTGAAGTGCAGCTGGACCAGAACACTTCCATTGACCTGGTAGCTCAGTTGCTCAGAGCGACAATAACAGGTCAAGGATTTGAATCCTGCTGGTCTGGCCCATCTGATTTTCTTCACTTTCAAAACAATGTTGTTGATGATTATATAATTATATTCTATCTGTTTCACCTTTTCTATTTTTTCATATAAGTCACACAAGTTATGGTTTACATTACTGTCTGTAATCAAAATAGCCATGGTATCGTTCCAGAATTTGGATGTGGTACAAGGATCTTTATTATTAGGAAATAACAATATAATTTTCCATAATCAAATGAAAGAACTTTTTATTCTCCAAGTAAGTTATAAAATCAGAAAGTCTGAACTCCCTCATCTTTACGATTGAAGTTTCTCAACTAGCAAGATAACCTTCAGTCATAAGTTCATTCGACGCCGGTAGTTGCTTCGTTTGGACTCGTGTCAGTCAATGACATCGTATCATATTCGCGGAAGGAAATGTTTCTTATACATCCCTTGACGATTTTTATTCAAAATTGACTTCAAATTGTCCTAAAAACGACATGAAAAGGTAAATGCAGTGTTGACTGCTAGCAGACGATTTTTACCTCGTAACCACGTTCAACTTGTCAAAACATTATTTGAATGACCAAATGTTTCTCGCTACGTTTGTATTATACATTTTGGAGCTATATATGATCATTAAAGTCATCCGTGTGTACTGTCATTCGCGAGAAACATATATATAAAGTGAAAGTTTCTCATCAAATCACTTACTTCCTACTTTGGCGCTTTTCTACTCGAAAATTTTCACGAAATCACGTCTGTGTCTCGGGGAACGATAATGGCGTCCAAGACGGTAAATTGCGAGAAAGAACGATACTGCGCATGATCTTCTAAAGCTATTCAATTTCGTCGGCAACCTCCCTCTTGTTCGTGTGATATATCAACAACAACACATCTTAGACGATACATATTTTTGTTATTTATACAGCATAACAATAAATTTAGATAACGTCATTTATTTACATGGTAATGTTTTGCAAATTTGTGCAGATCTTGTACTTTAAGCAATTATCTGCGAAAGAGAGTAATAGACGGAACAACCGGATGTTGACGTAAAGATCTTGGAAGCACATGGGTCACACCTCATCAAGCATGTATTGTATTCGCTGTTATAACCGGTGTACACACACATTCGTTGAGCTGACAGTTGGGATGCTAGCATACACTAAACATATTCAATGATTGTTAATGGACTTACGAGAACGTGCTAAATAGTCCAATGTTCATACGTTTTTTTGCCATAAATATGCTGTATCCCTGCACATCTCTTGGGTCGCTGACATGGATGTTGCTGACTCTGACACAAACGACAATTTTGTCGTCTGCTTTGACGAGTGGAAGTGTACCAGTCGATATTTCCAGAACGAAGATATGGGGCCCTGGGTTAAATCCCAGACTGGTTCTGCCTGTAAGATATTTCTTTATGCAGGTCGTTGATGAAAATGGCTCAAAGTAAGTTATCTAAATATTTTTCTTGCCTCATAAAAATAGTGTCTAAAGCACTTTATGATGTAAATTAAATAACGTTCCGTACGGGCGTACGGCCGATATGTATGGACCACGGACTTAGATAACAATCTAATCTAATTCCGTGGTATGGACGGATGGCCTAAAGCAGAAGTTTGAAGCAATAATTCACTGCAGGCATTATATAAATGTTTATACATAGAGTAATTCCTACATCTATGATATGCAGATTTCTCTTTATTTTTGTAGACCAGACATTGTACAATGTTACTTATGTCTTGCCTTGAAAACTGCTTAACGGAGAGAATTAAAAAAAATATGAGAAAAAAATCAGGCAATGCTCTTAGGTGATTTTTTTTTGTTCTTAGTAGCATTGCAATTGATTAAAGAAAAAATTGATAAAAAATGGAAATGCCAAAAAAATTGAGGGAGAAAATGTTTGCATGTGACCTTAAACTTGAAAAATTACAATACATTAATGTATTTCAACAATTAAAGAAACAAGAATTATAATAATCGATGGAAGAAAAGCAGTTTAATAAGTTCTGTAGAAAACATTTCACAGCTAAAATCTTGGTCTATACATTAGTAAATGCTTCCCAAAGACTTGCAACATGTTGTTATATATAATAATTGTATAATAGCGAAGTTATATTAGCTTTAGTTTTCTTTTCAAAAGACCAGTTTTATATTGCACCAATCAGAGCAATGTGGGAAACTGTTTTTGATATGAACATAACAGGAGGAAGATTGCATATATAGTAGTTAAAATGAATTATGGTAAGAAAGTATGTCTGTATAGCCGCAAATTAAGTGGCCAACATGTGCACTGTCACATTGATTATGGATGTAGTTATGTAAATGAAGACAACTTCAATAGTTTTATGTTACTTAGCTAAGCTAATCTCAACCTTAAACAAATGTAGATGGGGTAGAGATAGATTTTGAGAGGAGATAGTTATTCAAGATTAAACACTTATGCATCAATACATGTTTCACACCATACAAGTATATTGTCCCCATATTTGCTCTAGATCTGCCACACACATGCTGTCTTGTACTTTTACCCTAACTTACCAATAAATTATTCATATGCATGTCTAGACATGAGTGAAGTACCAGTGTATCAAAACCCAACTGCAATTGAACTGTGTTATATACTGGTAGATGTTAATTATTTAAATGCAAATTAATATGCAACAGCAGGTACTTAACAAAACTGCACTGTTTGTGCAGTGCTGTTGTATATACTGTTTAGGATATATATTACCTATAGCCTATACAAATATATTTATAGTCAATTATTCAACGCTGGTGTCCTGCAGATTTTAATTTGACCTTCCAATACTTATAGGCAATCATGTAACATCTAAATGCCAAAATTGAGGTGGAAGGACTAGTATTCAAAGGTACAAATATAGATCATAACACTAACAGGCGAAGGTACAGAGTGAAAAAAGGTCGTTGGACCATCTCGGGGGTTGGAGTAAATACTAAATAGGTGTGATATCAGCTAGGTCAGTACAAATATTGTGTACCCTGGTAGGTGAAGTATATTGCTTTTCTTGCATATTGGTTCATTGGTTTTGGGCTGTAACGGTGTTTGTGTATAATTTTAGGATTAATTTGCCGACTCATGCTTAAATAATCTTGACACACCCATTTACAAGCAAGATTTCCCATACATTTTTAAGGACCATAGGAATGTTTTTTATCTTACCATATCCACTGGAGCTGCAATGATTGGTCTCTACAGAAATACAATTGAGTTAAAATACAGAATTTTACAAAGAATTTGTCACTAATTATCCACAGGATTTTATTGAACCTCCATCCCAATTAATGTTTCCCTTACAATAAGGCCATCACACACAGAGCCAGTGTAAATGCAGTGATTATTTTGCCTAATTTTACAGCCAACTACACTGTAGCTGCTTTCTCTTGCAAAAAAGTGGTATTTTTTCCCAAAATAAAGGAAAAATTGGGAATATCTTCCCAATTTTGATAAATGATATTTCTTCATTTTCCCAATTCATGTATGAATAGGCTGGTGTAAAATTAACGAAGAAAAAACACTGTAAATGTATGATCAGGCCATCACATGACTAGTATAAAGATACACACATGTAGTAAGAAACAGCAAGTAGTCCTAATCAGTAGGCCTCACAGGACTTGTTGAAGGACTGAAACTTATCAATTACATTGCCCTGTTAATTTATCTATTGGTCTCAGGCGGTGATTTAAACTGGAAATTATCAAGGACACTATCAATGGCCTAGATGTATGTGGTTATAAGGTCTAATAAAGAACTCGATAAGATTATTTTGCCTGACTGCATATTATATAATTAGACACACCTGTCCAAATAACAAACAAGAATCCACAATTTTTGGTTTATTTGTGTTTTTACGTCCTGTTAACAGCTATTGTCACTTAAGGACGTGCCAGGTTTTGGTGGTGGAGGGAAGCCGGAGTTCCTGGAGAAAAACCACAGACCTGCAACTAGTATCTGGCAACTGCCCCACATAGGTCTCATTAGGTCACCTGAGACAAAGTCTCAAGTGACCTATTGCGATCGCCTTTTGTCTGGCGGCGTCCGTCGTGCGTCCGTAAACAATTTACATTTTCGACTTCTTCTCCAAAACTCCTGAACCAATTTCAATGAAATTTTGCAGAAACTTTCCATGGCCAAAGGTCAACACAAATGGTGGCCGATTTGGTCCCCAGCCCCTTGGGGCCTGAGGGGCAGGGCCAAAAAGGGTCAAATTGACTAAAATTTCAAAAATCTTCTTCTCAAGACCCAGATATGGTAGAATCAAATACTCTTCATAGATCATTAGATAGAAGGGTCTTAAGGTGCTTTACCAAAATTGTGAATTTCTTGACCTGGGGTTTTACGTTTCCCCCTGGGGAGGGGGTAAACTTTACTATAGTTTATATAGGGAAATCACATTTTGGACCAACATTTGTTTAATTTCCATTGGAAGTAATTTAATTTAGGTTAGCATTATCAGTATTAGGTAGCAGTTTGATGGTATGCACATAAAAATTATGAGCCCTGACTGACCCCCTGGGGCTGATGGGTGGGGCCAAAAAGGGTTGAATTGACTGAAATTTCAAAAATCTTCTTCTCAAGACCAAGATATAGTAGAATCAAATACTCTTCATAGATGGAAGGGTCTTAAGGTTTATGACCCTAGGGTCTCACGTTTACCCCCTGGGGAAGGAGGGAGGGGGGGGAGGCAAAATTTATGGCTTATAATGGCAAACGATATTTTGAATATTACATGTTAATAACTTGATTGGAATTATAACCCTGAGTTGACAGTTTGATACTTTGAAAATTTTGAGCCATCCCCACCCCCAAGGGCTGTAGGGTAGGGCCCAAAGGAGTCAGTGTGCTAACATTTCTTCATTTTCCTTGTTTAGAATCTGGAGTGCTAGTTTGAAATATTTTTTAGTCTTAAATCTGTATGCTAGATATTGAATAAGGTGGTTTTATTGGTTTTTTGTCACTTTGAATAATATTTCTGTTCATGTTAAAAACAAAATCAACTCTCTGTATAAATATATCAGGTGACCGTTAAGGCCCATGGGCCTCTTGTTTAAGATTTTGAAGCTTTCATTAATGTTCTTTTACAGATATATATAATGACATTGTAATAAAATACAACATTTAATGATAACAACTTTTTCTTCTAATCATGTTTTTAAACCCAGTGAGTGATCCTGAATATACTAAAACTTTGATTTTTCTTCTCTTTACTCTGCTTTCTTCTTGACCGTGCCTATAATACTTGACCACAGTAAACAAATGTCTCAGCAAAGTTGTACAGCATTAAAACAAATTGAATCAAAAAGTCAAAAAACAAGAACAAATAATCAATGGAGTGGAGGCACGGTAGTCTAGTGGTAGGACGCCAGGCTCGTAACCGAAGGTTGCGAGTTTGAGTCACGGCATGGTATTGTGTTGTATCTTGTTCTAGTCTACTCAGCTGTAAATGAGTACGTTGTTGGGCAGTGCTAGAATTGTTGAATGATAGCTGTGAGCGCCTAAATGGCAGTACCGGCTGTATGCTCCCCAGGGAGTTGAGAAAGACGTTGGCTGGTTGCAAACGCCCTATAACCATGGATAATAATTTGTGAACCGCTTAGAGACGACCTACGATTCAGGTTGTGATAAAGCGGTATATAAGCTATTAATTATAAGTAGGCAAATTAAGACAGCTGGTCGAGAGCCCTGATAAACTTATCTAAAGGCCAAACAACAATTAGAGAAATGATAGTTTGGACTCATTAAAAATACCTTGGACTGAAATGTATTCACCTAGCTACAAATCTGCCAACTGGAGTGGTTTCAATTTTTTTTTAAATTATATTGTTACTTCATATGATATGGCCATAGAGGCAAGTGTAATTGTCTGCATCCATCATGTTTGCTATTAAATCCTATTCAATTTTGTTTTTCAATTACATGTACTAGCACTTCAGTCTGCAAATTCTACCACTTCACTAGCCCTAGTTATATTTTCATAGGAAATATTTAAAATGTACGCAAGACCAGACATAAAATCAACTAGCATTAGGCTTCAGGCTAGTGAAATTCATTCATTGACACATAATTACAAGATGTACCAGTTTACCAGGGGAAAACGTGAGACCCCAGGATCATGAAATTCACAATTTTGGTAAAGCACTATATAGACCCTTCCATCAATGAAGAGTATTTGATTCTACCATATCTGTGTCTTGAGAGGAAGGTTTTGATATTCCAGTCGATTCAACCTTTTTTGTTTTACATACATAGCATACTCCATAAAAGTTCCCAAGGTATGGTAATTAAGTATAGCATCAATTGATCATGAAAGTACATGAATTTACTTAAATTATGGAGTATACATGTATGTATATTTACATTTATTAAAATTATTGTAAGTCTTCTACACCAGACTCATTCACGTTCGAATACATTTAAAAGGAATACA